TTTATTTCGTGATTTGGTCAATTGTTTTTCGTATGACCTGAATTTCTGAATCTTGCGAACCCGAACTTTTCAATTCGAACTTTCACCGGTAGAGCAAGGCATTTTGCCTGTGGAGAGACCGTGCGCGAAGCACCATTGGTCGCTACTGGAAAAATTAGCGAATCCGCTGTTCTTTTTCGACATGTCCTTAGGACATTCGCTGCTTTCACGTGTTTTTCAATTCGAAGCCACTGCGTAACTCCGGGTTCTTTTGCTATTTGCCATTGTGTAGAGAAGTCAGGAAGATACTCTTAATACCAATTGGGTACGGCAAGGCGTAGTGCTCTACTCATTGCTTTTGAATTTGTGCCTGTGTTATTGTTTCGACCTAATACCTACATAGGTACATGCATGAGTATTGAGCACATTTATATGCGCCCTTCAAGGCTCAAGAGGTATATAGAGTAACCCTGTAGACAAGCACTGGCCGGCAACAGGCTGAGAGTAAAAGAGTGCTGTCATTGGGGAAGACGCCTTAGCTGATCTTGAAGTAGACGCTAGGGCCCCTCTTCAGCCCTCCCCCCTGCACCCCCACCCGCTTTTTTTTAATCGGTTCCCCTTGCTACCTACTATTCTTTTTGTTTTTCATAAGCATCACCGGTTATTTGGGTTCATTTTATCTTGATTGATATCCATCGAGATTTGTGCCTATGTACTTCTTTCTTGGTACGCATTGCGGGGGGAGGCGCTGCGCCCTCCCCCCTGCACCCCCCCACCCGCTTTTATTTCTTAATTGCTTCCCTTGCTACCTACTATCTTTCATTTTTTTCATAGGCATCGTTTCTTTGGGTTCATCTTCTCTTTCTTAATCTTTATTTATATCCATCGAGACTTCAGCCTGTGTGCTTCTTTCTTGGTACGCATTGCGGGGGGAGGCGCTGCGCCCTCCCCCCTGCACCCCCCCACCCGCTTTTATTTTTTAATCGACTTCCCTTGCCACCTACTCTCTTTCGTTTTTTTTCATATGTATCGTTTCTTTGGGTTCATCTTCTCTTTCTTAATCTTTATTTATATCCATCGAGACTTGAGCCTGTGTGCTTCTTTCTAGTAGTAGTAGTAGTACTACTACTACTACTACTACTACTACTAGTACTGCTACTACTAGTACTGCTACTACTAGTACTGCTACTACTAGTACTACTACTAGTACTAGTACTAGTACTAGTACTACAACTACTTTCTTCCTTCCTTCCTTCCTTCCTTCCCTCGATTTCGTTTTTGTTTTGATCCTTATTTGTTTTTTGATCCTTATTTGAACTTATTTGTTTTTTGCAAGATCGGAGAAACACATTTACAAGTATTATGACACATCGTGGACGAACACTCGACCAGACAACATGCAAGCACTACGTGACCTGTTCCTGGAAATGTATGTGCCGGCCAGAGGCCCGGCAAAGCGCGCAAACTAGCTCTGGCCAAGCCTTTGTTGCCACAAAAAGGTGGATGGTATGGCCCACCAACTGCTACGTTTAGTGTTACGGTACTACTGCTGCCGCTGTAATCCGCTGTATGCTGTGACAGCGCAACAAAGGTGGATGATAAGGCCCATCTACATTGCGAAATGTATCATGACCATGTGACGCTTTGCGGGGGGAGGCATTGCGGGGGGAGGCGCTGCGCCTCCCCCCTGCACCCCCCCACCCGCTTTTATTTTTTAATCAGCTTCCCTTGCTACCTGCTCTCTTTCATTTTTTCATAGGTATCGTTTCTTTGGGTTTATCTTCTCTTTCTTAATCTTTATTTATATCCATCGAGACTTGAGCCTGTGTGCTTCTTTCTTGGTACGCATTGAGGCGCTGCGCCCTCCCCCCTGCACCCCCCCACCCGCTTTTATTTTTTAATCGACTTCCCTTGCTATCTACTCTCTTTCGTTTTTATTCATATGTATTCCCATTTGTTTTTTTTTGATCCTCCCTTTCCGCAGTTTCTTGACGATTTTCACTACGATCGTCCTTATTTGTTTCTTTTGATCCTTATTTGTTTTTTTTGATCCTTATTTGTTTTTTTTTGATCCCTCGATTTTGTTTTTTTTTGATCCTTATTTGTTTTTTTTTGATCCCTTAGCCGTGTTCTGCGACATACGCTGGTAATCTCACGTTTTCGGAGAAGCTCAGGTGGCTCGGGAGGGGGACTTTGTGATGCCGGAGGCCTTGTATTTGCTGAATTTTTCTGACTGAAGTTCTATAAGTTCTATCCAATGGGTTCATTTAACTTTTCATGTACTCTATGTAGACTCTATGTACTCCAGTTTGGTGATTTTCATAAGCTTGAGTCCATCCAGACGATTTGATTATCTTAGTGTCTTAGTGGAGGTTTCAGGAAAGCCCAAGAGCCTTTTGACCGATCCGTGCCAGAGCGGCACCGTGGACTTCTGGGCTGTGGGCACCAATTGCTGTGACAAAGCCACAAGGCTTCTGGATGTCTCATTGGGAATCATTGGGGACGGAGAAACTCCCAATGAACTCTTTCAAAGCCAGCAACTCAACGTACGGAACACAATTTGGTTGTTTCTTCAAAGTTGTTGCAACATTGGCCTTTTTTGAGATTTGTTTCAAGAATAGCAGCTAGCTGTTGCTGATTTTCAGTCTTGGGATTATCCATCCTGCTTTGTCTTGCAAAAGGGGGGTGGGAACCAGCCAGTCAGACGAGCCCAAAGCTCCCGGATTCTGTTGTCATTCTCAAAGTCATATCGATCCATCGCTCTGTTTTGGGATGTCCATGATATGTTCATTCGATTGGTTTAAAGTATTCTAAAGATTCTAAAGTATTTTAAGGATCATTTGAATGATTTATCATCATCTACCACTGAATTTAACTTGTGAAACACAGGGTTTTCTCGAACATTTTCCTGATAAACGGGCGCCCAGCCGTAGCGCCACCCACTGCAGGGAGTTCACCTGCGGCGAGGCGGGTCGCCAGGGCATTTTCTGTGTCTTGTGGCTAAAACTTAAGATATCTCAAAGGGAATATACATACAAACATACACACACCTACCTACCTACCTACCTACCTAACGTCACGTCACGTCACGTCACGTCACATCACATCACATCACATCACATGCATAAATACATACTGTAATTATGATTGTGTGTATATATATATATATGTCCTGTCAGTTTTGTTGATTACTAACTTTGATGACTCAATGAACTTTAGCTTATCAAATGGGTGTCAGTTTTTGTTTGAAAACTGCCGTTCCTGTGTGGCCCAGAGACAATAGTAGCATCAAAGATGTTTATCACCCACATGGAGCCCAAAATCACAGAGATGATTGTCGCAGATTGCCGCATTCAGGATGACAAGGTGTTGCATTCCAACAAAGCTGCAACGGATATCAGCTAAGCACCCGGATGACAATGTAAACATGAACAGCTTGCCTCAAGCTTCAGGGTTTTCCCAAATTCAGTCTGATTTTTGTGATCTTCGCAATACAGCAGGTCTTTTCTTGGGACCCCCTGCGGTCTACCCTAATCCCCCTTGCCGTGATGAGCGGATGGATCGCTTCGCAAGGCTGGAGATCAGGGAGATGTTCATGATCTTTGATTTTCAGATATATTCAGTACTGTTTGGAATGGAGGAAAGCTAGGATCGAAGACAATAGAAGATGATCGGTGACGGGGATCCATCCTGCCAGATCTTCTGCTGGGCGGCGTGTTGGCCGGTCTCGGTGGTGCACGAGCATCGCGAGCATCGCGCTTGAAGGCCTGGTGAGTTAACTGACCAGTTACTCTGTGCATGCATGGATGACCATTTTTTTCGAACCATTCGCGTTTTATATCGTTGATAGGGGACTTACTAGGCGAGTAATACTCTCGCCATTTGTTACCACAACATACGAAAGCCACTTGCCTTGCCTGGGATGCATCTAGCAATGTGCTGCCAGATGCATGTGGCTCGCCATGCTTCGGTGACTTCTGTCTCCTGCCTGTCCGCTGCCGCGGTAGGTGCAGCACTGAGGGACACGCAATTAATATTGGGAATATTAAGAATCATGGAATCATCCGTGGATGGTAAGTTATAATCATTCCATGATGTTTTTTGACACTGCTCAGTTAGAATCAAAGTGGCTGCATAAAGACTCCATTCGAAGTCACTGATCAATGAAAGAGGCTGCCCTGTTCCAGTGATAGACGCAATAGTCAGTGCAAGAGTCCCCTTGCATAATTCCGAACAAGATCTAAGTAAAATCAGTCTTGATTTGGGTTTATGAAATTGATGGGGAGATAAACGGGGCAAATTCCACTGATAAACCTCCCATTCATGTGTATACAACCCATTTATGGTATAACTGGGAATAATTGACTGTATTTATGACTGGGTTTTTGACATTATGACTGGATGATCGAAAATGATCAGGTGCCGCTTGGGTGGCAGGCGATCAGGACCAGCGGGCCTCAGTGGTTTTATGATTGGATGGCAGCTGTCACACTTCCCAAAACATTAAGACTTGCGGAGGCCAGCAGTTTTAATACACACAGATCAAGTGAGTTCTGTAGTGAATGCTCCAACTCAGCAGCGATGGCAAAGCTGATAGGTGAATCCCAGATTTTAAGGCTCATCTCAGTTTTAGAAGTAGTCCAGCAAACTCTTGCTCCAACCCTTCAGCAGCCAAAGTTGTTGTGCGGAAATCCTTGCAGGCCGTAGCTAGATCACTTGTTGAGGATGTCTTTGAAGTCAGCTGTGGCATTCTGATTCAAAACGGAATCTCTGGAACTTTGCTTTGAACAGCAACAACTACCAGTTGCGACCAGAAACGAAGATCAAAACGTTGGAGCATCTTCAAAGTGGAAGAGAAATGAACAGTAAGGTTAGCGCTTGTTTTTTTTTGAGATACCCTAGTCAACAGTTGAATTTTACTTCTTCATACAGAGTTTCGGCATCATTTCAGCCAGTTGTCCTGAAGATCAAAGCTCACCCAGCACTCGCTGCCACAGCGAGTGCCGTCCCCGGGCGGCGCCCGGTGAGTGTGCCATGTGTTCTTTTCTGGTGAGCAGCTGGCTTCTCAGCAACCTGACCTATGTCAATTTCTTCATGCGACCCAGAGGGCCAGACCTCACCACACACATCAACCTTCACAACTTTACCTTCGTCCACAATTTGCTTCACATGACAGGCGCCTTGAATGCAGATAGGCAAATGCTAATGCCGGTGAATATGTGAGCATATATATATATATATATACTGTATATATATATATAGGGGGCAAGTCAAAATAGGAGGTCCGGAACAAGCTCCGGGACCACACCCGTTCCATACCCCCGTTCCATACCCCCGTTCCATACCTCCTTGAAGGATCCGTTCCATACCTCTGTTCCATACCTCTGATCCATACGTTATTATATATATAATTATATATAATTATTATTTATATATATATATATATCCACAATTATATATATATATATTTGATTATGTGCAATCTGATTTTACATTTGTACGCACATATATGAGCGCACGTACATACATGAGTGCATACATGCAAGAATACGTTTACTATGCCCAAGCCCTGTGATTGTTTTGGCAAGTCTGTGCCTGCAGCACTTACAGCTGCTACCTACTTTGTTGTGTGATGGAGGGATGTGCTTGGCTGCTGCCAGCTGGCAGTCTAAGAATGGATTGCTTGTAACCCTCCCTCCCTCTCAACCTGTGGCAGGTTTGTGCCTGCACCACTTAAAGTTGCTGCAGGCTGTGGCACAGCTGTGGTGTTTGATTGTAGAGATGCGCTTGGCTGCTGCCAGCTGGCAGTCTAAGAATTGCTTGCTGCGCTATTCTCGCTCCAAACTGCGAATTTTGATAAAGATGTGCTGCGTGGTGGCAGTGCTGTGCTGGAGTGGGCCGTTTCGTTCCAGACCCCGTTCCCCGTTCCATACCCGTTCCAGACCTGGACCACCCATGTACCACCCCTGACCCACTGGTGAACACATGGCAGGTTCTCACATAGACTGCTCGTAAGCCATCCTTTGCGCGTGGGTTATGGGAGGGTAGAGTCTTGCTATGCAGGGACACAATCTACCCCATAGGGACCTCTGAGTTTTAAGAGTAGGAGGTGGGACCTGCGTGACAGGTCTGAAGCTGAGTCGACAGCTTCACATGGTAGCCAGTGGGTGACACTGGCTACCGGTCGTGTCGTATCTAGTGCACGAGCACTAGCCATGCAAGGCAAACCTGCGTTGAACAGGTGTACAACAAGGATGTCGTGCAGATGAGGAGTAGCTTCAACGTGCATATCCTTGAGATGTATATTATATGTGTTACATATAATGTATATATATATATTTATTTATTTACTTATGTATGGCCCATATTTCATCACACTCCAAAGGTCCGGAACAAGACCAGTTACGAAGCCCCTTCGTTCCATACGTCCGGAACACCGCGGAACGTTCCATACACAATTTTGACTCGGGACCATATATATATATATGCATATATTATATATTTGCACAGTATACATATATATATATAGAGTATAATATGTATATATGGCCATATCTCTCTCTCTCTCTATATATATACATACATACATACTTTCCATGCCCCAAACGTGCAGTTTGTGCCCCCCCAGAAAACTTGTATGGAACCCCAAAGATCGCTCTCTGGACCTCTGGATAAAGAGCATGATTTTCCAAACATGTTCAAACCCATTTTTTTTGCAGGTCCGGGTTTGTTTTCAGCGTCATTCATGAAGAGACAGAAAGGGTCCATCTGAATTTGGAGCCAGCTCCGGATAACTTCCAGGCGAGCGTATTCCACAGCCCTTCACCAGCGATGATCGCCAGGTGCACGCCCGAAATGCTCATGGGAAAAAATGAGGGATGCCTTGGATTTAGGAGAGGCGACTTTCTTAATTTTGTGAGCAGAACGAGATTTGATGCTGGTACAACTCTGCACAACTCAAGAATTGGGAGTGCTTGTTCGTTTAACATCTTCACCAACAGTCTTTGAGATGCATTCAATGTCGAGGCCCTTTTTTCTACATGCATACGAATCTTCTAAGTGCAACAGATTTAAGTTAATGAGTGGGAATCACTGGGACTCTCTGCTTTCCAAGAGTCCCCAAATGTTTTGTGATGTTTAAAAACGACCTTTGACATCCAAGATGGGCAGCTTTTTCCATTGTGAGCAGCTACACCCCTGTTGGTTGATGATTAGTTGGGGGTTCTGCAATGTTATACATGGCCATACTACCCAATATGTATATATACACATATTATATATATATATATTATATATATATATATATACAATTATATATGTATATATATATATATATGGATATATATGTATATATAGCCTCGTCCAGGCTTCTGGAACTACCTAAACCTGAATTAGGTTGGTAAAACTTGTCCATTCCGTGACGAAATTTCGTCGCGGAATTAACAAGTTTCATTAGGGTCATTATCATCATCATCATCATCACATCATCATCAACTGCTGCCGCAAGTTCACATGAATGTTAACATCGAGCCGCAAGTTCACATGAACGTTAACATCCCCCCCCACCCCCCCCACCCCGCGTGTGCGTAGCATCAACTGCTGCCGCAAGTTCACATGAACGTTAACATCCTGCCGCAAGTTCACATGAACGTTAACATCCCACCCCACCCCTTTACCCCATCGTATGTAGTTCCAGAAGCCTGGACGAGCCTATATATACATGTACTGTATCTCATATTTGCCCTCGTGTTTTCCGGTGTAGCTATTAGTACCCAGGTGGTTCTGGTCTACAACGGTGAGATCTACAACTTCAAAGCCCTGCGGCCCGAGTCCACCAGCGATGGAGAGGCCTTGGTCCCGCTGTACCTCCAGAGAGGTGATCTCTTCACACGTCTCTCGGTGGTTCAACGGTGCTGGAGGGTCCCCTGGCCACCCATGGATTTTTTTTGGGGTTGAAAGGTTAACAGGTGAAAGTTGTTGGTTCATGTGCAATGGCCAATTTGAGTCAAAGATCTTAAATCCCCATGTTTGGGGGTTTTGATGGGCTAATTAACCACAAAATGGGAGTTAACCGAGTTAATCAAATCATATCAAATCAAAATGGGGATTCAAGCTGCTTTGGAGTGATATATTGGTTTGTCCAAAAACCGGGATACGTTCATACACTCAAAAGAACCATTAAGAATGGGGAAGTAGCATTGGTCATTGGTCTTTGGGGTGCGCAATGGCTGGAATTTCGCCGAGGCATGCTCGATGGGGAGTTCGCCATTGCACTCCTGGACTTTCGACGGCGAAAAGCCATCATCTCTTCTGAGGCTTTGCTGATTTAAGACTGTTTGGAGTTGGACATTGGACATTTTGGACGCTTGTAATTTCTCACCGGGCATCTTTTCTCTAGTGGCGATCAGAAAGAAATGAAATTGTGACTCCATCAGAGCGCTCCATGCGAAACTGAGGACATCTTCTCCACCAAACCCTTGTGGTTCTCAACCTACCAAGGCGTCTTTGTTCATGTTTCTTCAGCCATGGGATCTCTGAAGGGTGCATGATACTTGTCTACAAGCATAAGTGATGTTCTGTACATATATACAATCATATAATATATATATATATTTATACACATACATATTTATGTAATCATCACACATGACCACGTATGGTATGCATCCAACCTTAATTCCATCCATGCCACAATGCTTTGGCGTTGGCAGCGTTCAGGCTTCCATGTAGCCAGCTACCAGAGTGCTTTGCTTCGCATGGGCATACCACCAGGAGCACCGGCTGTGATTCGCTGCACTTTGTCATCACAGCAAGACATCTGATGGAAATTGAGCCATGTGAAGTTTGGTGAGGTGAAACCTGCCCAAATGATGGTGGTTTATTGAGGGTTGAACACCAACCCCCTTACGAACAAAAGATTACAAAGGCAGAAGGGGTTTCAGCTGAGTTCTTGGCTCGACCAGGAGCTGTGCGCATGGTGGATCCCAATAGCATTATGATTTTTGACCTTCGACAGATGGATTTGAAGATCCAACGACATGCCTTGCACGAGTTTGACCTTCGACAGTTCAAGCAGGACAGGCCAAAAACTTCCCAGGGTGGAGGGGGTGCCCTTGTATCAAGCAAATCGCACCCTGCCTGACAGGCCCAGAAATAGATTTCAGCAAAGAGGGTGAAATTGAAACCACCAAATGGGGATGGATCAAGACCTATACATTCGGGGGGATGAAAATCCTTCCGCCAGCTATTCTGATGTTGACCACGGTGCATTGACGGGTGTTGATCCATACCTAGATATTACTGTATTATACACGTATGTAAAAACATATATACATACATCCCGGCGGGTTGTTTATCGAACCCGCGTTTTCAACGTTTGCAGTGTTCGTCATTGATTTCATACCACAAATCACAGTGGTTTTGCATCTCTCTCAAAGTTCAATTTCCTTAAAGAGTACGCGCGTACTTTTCACTGGATATGTAAAAAACTTCAGAGGCACTCTCTTTTTTTCTGCGCTAAGTGTTCTTCCCAATTTCTGCAGTGAGCTTGGAGAGGTTTTTGTGGGAACTGTTTTCCCATCTCCACTGCCAAGCGCTAACATGCGTCCAAATCTTGCCATTGAGCAAGACTAACGTAGACTAACGTAGCATCATATATGTGAGGAAGTGCAAGACGACGTACAGTAGCGTTGCATCATGTATGTGAGGAAGTGCAAGACGACGTACACTAGCGTAGCATCATATATGTGAGGAAGTGCAAGACGACGTACAGCAGCGTAGCATCATGTATGTGAGGACGTGCAAGAAGACGTACAGCAGCGTAGCATCATGCATGTGAGGAAGTGCAAAAAGACGTACAGCAGTGTAGCATCATGTATGTCAGGCAGTGCAAATGAACGTTATTACCCCACCCCACCCCACCCCACCCCGTTAACCCCATGAAAGACATAGAAACATGCAAAATGCTGGTTCGGTTTTCAACCCGTAGGCACATACATACATATATACGTATGTGTATATATATATATGTATATATATATATGTATATATATATGTATATGTATATATATATAGATGTACATACATATATATATATATGTATATATATATATATGTATGTACATATATATATACATACATATATATATATATGTATATATATATATGTATATATGATATATATATATATACATACATATATATATGTATATATATATGTATATATGATATGTATATATATATATATATATGTATATATGTATATATGTATATATGAATATATATATACATATATACATACATACATACATACATACATACATACATACATACATACATACAATACATACAATACATACAATACATACAATACATACAATACATACAATACATACAATACATACAATACATACAATACATACAATACATACAATACAATGCATACAATACAATACATTACATACAATACATACACTACATACAATACATACAATACAATACAATACATGTACATACAATACATACAATACATACAATACATACAATACATACAATACAATACAATACATACAATACATACAATACATACAATACATACAATACATACAATACATACAATACATACAATACATACAATACATACAATACATACAATACATACAATACATACAATACATACAATACATACAATACATACATACATACACTCGTATGTATACATGTATGTATGTATGTAATGTAATGTAATGCAATGTAATGTAATGTAATGTACTGTAATGTAATGTATGTATGTATGTATGTATATGTAGAAATTAGAACCAACAATTCAATAACTTGCGCATCAAGGTATCTAGGCCTCAGATCCAGGTAGGCCTCATCGCCCCAGCTGCTGAGCCTTCCGCCAGGATACCAGTGACTTCCAAGCTGCCTTTGCAAATGCAGTGCAGAAGCGCATTCAGTATGCTATCCATCCGATGTTCATCGGGCTTTCTTCAGGTTATGACAGTGGAGCTATCCATGTGGCACTAGTGCACGAGAGGACCAGCGTCCGGCGGCGACAGCTTCAGATGGGGGCAAACAAAATAGATGAAAAACAAATAGATGAACCAACCTTTGTACTTTTTGGGTTGCTCTGTCTTTTGCATGCTCCTATTCAGCAAAGCCTCCTGTCAAGATCATTTGTAAATTTGAGTGTATTGATGTGTATCGCGCATGGTCGGATATCCCATTGAAGATCGGCCATGCTGCCAATCTTCTGCAACATTGGCTGCAGAGGACTGGACATTTTGCCTACACTGTGCACTCTACAGAAGACATGGAGATCTTGAAACAGCGAATTGCTTGGGCTGGCAACTGGACAGAGACAAATGTGATTGTCTCTTGGCGCACGATGCAAACCTGATGGCCCATGGTTTGCCCATGGTTTGACAGTCAAACATGACCCAAATCGCAAATTGTGTGGGGTAGTAGGGGTAGTGGGTGGATTTGTCATTCCCCAACCCCCGGCTCAGTGGCGCTTCCGACTATCAAGTCAAAAATTGGGTTTTGACGTGAACGTTGCTCCACCATGAGTCGTTCAAAAAGCAATTCATTCTAACTTGAAGACTCCTCTGGCGCTGCAAGGTCCTAAGTGGCATGGATCTTGAGCGTGAAGCTGCTCGGCTCATAGAAAGATCTGCTAGGTTTCACATCAAGTTCCCTACGATTTAGGGTAGTCTGTTGAGAAACTCTTGGTGCCGAAACTGAGAACTTCTGAGAACTTGTGATCCGCAAAACCCAATGCCCCGTGGAATCCCCCTGTCCCCCATTCAGGCCTTGCGTTTGGCAGAACAGTGTGAGCCTTTCCACTACAGGCTCCCATAGGGCCATAGGGCCATAGGGAGGGACACATATCGGGACGGATCAGTTTTTTGTACCTGGGACCTGCAAATTCTGGTGATTTCTTTCGTATTGCCATTTTTATTGTGCAATCTATACTAGGCGCAGATGACACGGGACTTTGCGGCCGATTTAGCCGATGTTTTTTGGCACATGACATGGAATTTATGTATCGATTTTGCTATGGTTTTTTATTTTACACATGACATGGGAGTTATGCGCCGACCTAACAGGCAGGCATTTTTCCATTTTTTTGACAGATGACATGAGAATAAGTGAGCCAATTTACACATGACATGGGACTTTACACCGCAGGAGATGGGACATCCAAGGTGGGAACTGGCAGGTAGGGAGATGGGAAGAGGAATTTTACCACAGGAGATGGGACATCTAAGGTGAGGAGGTGGGACATCCAAGATGGGAACTGGCAGGCGGAACTGGCAGGTAGGGAACAACAGGAGATGGGACATCCAAGGTGGGAACTGGCAAATAGGGAGACGGGAAGAGGAATTTACCGCAGGAGATGGGACATCCAAGGTGGGAGCTGGCAGGTAGGGAGATGCGAAGAGGAATTTACCACATGACATGGGACTTCCAAGGCCGTAATGGGACTTCCAAGGCCGGATCTGGCAGGTAGGGAGGAAACATGTACCACAGGAGGTGCGAACTGCCAAGTAGGGAGATGGGAACAGGAATTTGACCACAGCAGATGGGACATCTAAGGTGGGAACTGGCAGGTAGGGAGATGGGAAGAGGAATTTACCGCAGGAGATGGGACATCCAAGGCCGGAACTGCCAGGTAGGGAGATGGGAAGAGGAATTTACCACAGGAGATGGGACATCCAAGATGGGAACTGGCAGATAGGGAGATGGGAAGAGGAATTTACCACAGGAGATGGGACATCCAAGATGAGGAGGTGGGACATCCAAGATGGGAACTGGCATGCGGAACTGGGGGAACTGGCAGCTAGGGAGAAGGGGGAGAGGAATTTACCGCAGGCAGGTAGGGAGATGCGAAGAGGAATTTACCACATGACATGGGACTTCCAAGGCCGGAATGGGACTTCCAAGGCCGGAACTGGCAGGTACGGAGGAAACATGTACCACAGCAGGTGGGAACTGGCAGGTAGGGAGATGGGAAAAGAATTTACCACAGGAGATGTGACATCCAAGGCCGGAACTGCCAGGAAGGGAGATGGGAAGAGGAATTTACCACAGGAGATGGGACATCCAAGATGGGAACTGGCAGATAGGGAGATGGGAAGAGGAATTTACCGCAGGAGATGGGACATCCAAGGGAGACGAATTTACCACATGGGACTTCTAAGACCGGAACTGGCAGGTAGGGAGACGGGAAGAGGAATTTACCGCAGGAGATGGGACATCCGCTGGCCTAGGGAGACGGGAAGAGGAATTTAGAGACCGGGCAGAGGGAGGTTGGGGCATCCAAGGTGGGAAGTGGCAGGTAGGGAGATGGGAAGAGGAATTTACCACAGCAGGTGGGAACTGGCAGGCAGGGAGACGGGAAGAGGAATTTTACCACAGGAGATGGGACATCCAAGATGGGAACTGGCAGATAGGGAGACGGGAAGAGGAATTTACCGCAGGAGATGGGACATCCAAGGGAGACGAATTTACCACATGACATGACTTCCAAGGCCGGAACTGGCAGGTAGGGAGACGGGAAGAGGAATTTACCGCGGGAGGTTGGGCATCGTGGGAACTGGCAGGTAGGGAGATGGGAAGAGGAATTTAGCACAGGAGATGGGACATCCAAGGTGGGAACTGGCAGGCAGGGAGACAGGAAGAGGAATTTAACCGCAGGAGATGGGACATCCAAGGGAGACGAATTTACCACATGACATGGGACTTCCAAGGCCGGAACTGGCAGTTAGGGAGACGGGAAGAGGAATTTACTGCGGGAGGTTGGGCATCGTGGGAACTGGCAGGTAGGGAGATGGGAAATTTAGCACAGGAGATGGGACATCCAAGGTGGGAACTGGCAGGCAGGGAGACAGGAAGAGGAATTTAACCGCAGGAGATGGGACATCCAAGGGAGACGAATTTACCACATGACATGGGACTTCCAAGGCCGAAACTGGCAGGTAGGGAGACGGGAAGAGGAATTTACCGCGGGAGGTTGGGCATCGTGGGAACTGGCAGGTAGGGAGATGGGAAGAGGAATTTAGCACAGGAGATGGGACATCCAAGGTGGGAACTGGCAGGCAGGGAGACAGGAAGAGGAATTTACCGCAAGAGATGGGACATCCAAGGGAGACGAATTTACCACATGACATGGGACTTCCAAGGCCGGAACTGGCAGGGAGACGGGAAGAGGAATTTACCGCGGGAGGTTGGGCATCGTGGGAACTGGCAGGTAGGGAGATGGGAAGAGGAATTTAGCACAGGAGATGGGACATCCAAGGTGGGAACTGGCAGGCAGGGAGACAGGAAGAGGAATTTACCGCAGGAGATGGGACATCCAAGGGAGACGAATTTACCACATGACATGGGACTTCCAAGGCCGGAACTGGCAGGTAGGGAGACGGGAAGAGGAATTTACCGCGGGAGGTTGGGCATCGTGGGAACTGGCAGGTAGGGAGATGGGAAGAGGAATTTAGCACAGGAGATGGGACATCCAAGGTGGGAACTGGCAGGCATAGGGAGATGGGAAGAGGAATTTACCGCAGGAGATGGGACATCCAAGGGAGACGAATTTACCACATGACATGGGACTTCCAAGGCCGGAACTGGCAGGTAGGGAGACGGGAAGAGGATTTACCGCGGGAGGTGGGGCATCCAAGGTGGGAAGTGGCAGGCAGGGAGATGGGAAGAGGAATTTACCACAGCAGGTGGGAACTGGCAGGCAGGGAGACGGGAAGAGGAATTTACCGCAGGAGATGGGACATCAGGGACATCCAAGGGAGACGAATTTACCACATGACATGGGACTTCCAAGACCGGAACTGGCAGGTAGGGAGACGAGGATTTACCGCGGGAGGTGGGGCATCCAAGGTGGGAAGTGGCAGGTAGGGAGATGGGAAGAGGAATTTACCACAGCAGGTGGGAACTGGCAGGCAGGGAGACGGGAAGAGGAATTTACCGCAGGGGATGGGACATCAGGGACATCCAAGGGAGACGAATTTACCACATGACATGGGACTTCCAAGACCGGAACTGGCAGGTAGGGAGACGAGGATTTACCGCGGGAGGTGGGGCATCCAAGGTGGGAAGTGGCAGGTAGGGAGATGGGAAGAGGAATTTACCACAGCAGGTGGGAACTGGCAGGCAGGGAGACGGGAAGAGGAATTTACCGCAGGATATGGGACATCAGGGACATCCAAGGGAGACGAATTTACCACATGACATGGGACTTCCAAGACCGGAACTGGCAGGTAGGGAGACGGGAAGAGGAATTTAACCGCAGGAGATGGGACATCCAAGGGAGACGAATTTACCACATGACATGGGACTTCCAAGGCCGGAACTGGCAGGCAGGGAGACAGGAAGAGGAATTTAACCGCAGGAGATGGGACATCCAAGGGAGACGGATTTACCACATGACATGGGACTTCCAAGGCCGGAACTGGCAGGTAGGGAGACGGGAAGAGGAATTTAACCGCAGGAGATGGGACATCCAAGGGAGGCGAATTTACCACATGACATGGGACTTCCAAGGCCGGAACTGGCAGGCAGGGAGACAGGAAGAGGAATTTAACCGCAGGAGATGGGACATCCAAGGGAGACGAATTTACCACATGACATGGGACTTCCAAGGCCGGAACTGGCAGGCAGGGAGACAGGAAGAGGAATTTAACCGCAGGAGATGGGACATCCAAGGGAGACGGATTTACCACATGACATGGGACTTCCAAGGCCGGAACTGGCAGGTAGGGAGACGGGAAGAGGAATTTAACCGCAGGAGATGGGACATCCAAGGGAGGCGAATTTACCACATGACATGGGACTTCCAAGGCCGGAACTGGCAGGCAGGGAGACAGGAAGAGGAATTTAACCGCAGGAGATGGGACATCCAAGGGAGACGAATTTACCACATGACATGGGACTTCCAAGGCCGGAACTGGCAGTTAGGGAGACGGGAAGAGGAATTTACTGCGGGAGGTTGGGCATCGTGGGAACTGGCAGGTAGGGAGATGGGAAATTTAGCACAGGAGATGGGACATCCAAGGTGGGAACTGGCAGGCAGGGAGACAGGAAGAGGAATTTAACCGCAGGAGATGGGACATTCAAGGGAGACGAATTTACCACATGACATGGGACTTCCAAGGCCGAAACTGGCAGGTAGGGAGACGGGAAGAGGAATTTACCGCGGGAGGTTGGGCATCGTGGGAACTGGCAGGTAGGGAGATGGGAAGAGGAATTTAGCACAGGAGATGGGACATCCAAGGTGGGAACTGGCAGGCAGGGAGACAGGAAGAGGAATTTACCGCAAGAGATGGGACATCCAAGGGAGACGAATTTACCACATGACATGGGACTTCCAAGGCCGGAACTGGCAGGGAGACGGGAAGAGGAATTTACCGCGGGAGGTTGGGCATCGTGGGAACTGGCAGGTAGGGAGATGGGAAGAGGAATTTAGCACAGGAGATGGGACATCCAAGGTGGGAACTGGCAGGCAGGGAGACAGGAAGAGGAATTTACCGCAGGAGATGGGACATCAGGGACATCCAAGGGAGACGAATTTACCACATGACATGGGACTTCCAAGGCCGGAACTGGCAGGTAGGGAGACGGGAAGAGGAATTTACCACATGACATGGGACTTCCAAGAGCCCGGCTCGAGGACTTGGACCCGGCAACGGAGGTAAGCCACACATAAAAACTTTAGCGCAACGGGGGTAACACACAGGGTCAACGGGGAAGCCTATAACGGGAGGGACACAACGAGAAAATGAGAAATGTCACGTTTATGGTGGGTAAATGAGAAAAAACTTATTATGTAATTTTTTGAAATCTTAAAATCGTGCATATGTGTTTAATAATAGTTAGATATGTTTCAAAGGCTTGGTGTGCCCTGTGTATGCACAGGTAGTTCATGCAACTCTATATACGAAATGTGAGTTATCTAAGGTTCAATGTTGTTCAATCTTGGTATCAATAAAAATCGTATTCAATTTTCATGCATGTAAAGCACATGACATGTATAGCATTATATACATATATATATATATAATATATTTGACGACGCTCAATCCTGTATTTTGTAGACAAAGTTTGAACTGGTGGCCCTGCACTGGCTCGAGAGGTGTTTGCACCTCCTTATTTGCCGCACTATTTTGTAGAGAAAATTATCACAGGGATCTGCTAAATACGTGCTAGGTAGCTGCTAAATAGTTGGTGAATACACGCTGAATGTCTGCCAAATAGTTGCTAAATAGTTACCTGTATTAAATGGCTGCTAAATAGCTTTAGTAGCCGCCAAATAGTTACTGAAATAGCTGCTAAATAGCTTAAAAAACTGCTAAATAACCGCTAAATAGTTTCAAAGCTTCTAAATAGCTGCTCAATAGTTGCTAAATAGTTGCTAAATAGCTGCTACATAGCAGCTAAATAGTTGCTAAATAGCTGCTCAATAGTTGCTACATAGTTGCTAAATAGCTGCTAAATAGCAGCTAAATAGTTGCTAAATAGCTTCTAAATGGTTTCTAAATAGTTGCTGAATAACTACTAAATAGGTGCAAAATAACTTCTAAATAGTTGCTGAATAGTTGACAAATGGCTTCTAAATAGCTTCAAAATAGTTGGTAAATAGCTGCTGAATAAATGCTAAAGAATTGCCAAGTAGCTTCTGAATAGCTGCTAGATAGTTGCTAAATAGAACGAGGTGAATGGATTCATGTGACTTTGGAATATTCTAACAGCTGACGTATAATGTTGGATTATTCTAACTGCTAGCAGGTAGTCATACACTCATATACTATCTTTGTGTGGGATGTGAAATGTACAGTGTGTCAGTTTAGTTGACATGACACGTTTTGCATCTTTTAGAACCCAAACAATTGCAGAGGTCCCGTGTCATGTGATTTTTTTTTTGCGAGGCACTTTACAGATGACATGGGACTTATGCATTTTTCTGTTTTTTCACTTTACAGATGACATGGGAGTTATCGTTTTTTGGGTATGTTCGACAACTCCCATGTCATCTGCAGGTACTATATATATTGTGAATTTCAGTGACATGCTGCACCTGAGGTCCGCATTCACCTATGTGTATCCTCGCGGCTGTTATGGTCCAAAGGGCCCTTGATGCCAATACTTGGCATAGCGGAGGAAAACGTTGTGTGTGAGCCATTTGGCTATTGCGTTGCTTGGTGTGAGGATTCATATCCTATAACAACCTGAAGGTCATATCTGTTTGCTTGAAGGGGCATCCACTCCCCATTAACTGACAGTTGGATTGGCTACCTGCTTCCGCATGGTAGCGGAGCCACTTCGGTGGCATCCGTGACACTGAGGAGGTCCTAAGGCCTTAGTGTTGTGACTGCAGCTTTGCAGTGAGTTTGCAACCGGTCAATCCCGACCGACCACAACCTACACACAACCGAGCTCAACACGAACTTCACTTTCAATTTGCAACAGCATGGAGTCCAAGGACACGTTTCGTGATCTGCAGTTTGATGGCCGCCCATCAGGCTATAGGGACTTCAGGAGAAAAACAATTTTGGCCGTTGCAGGCCAGGAGAACAAGTTGGCTCACCTTGCCGGGCCAAGATTGCTACAGCGTCTCCAAGGCGAAGCTTGGAGGGCGACTGAACATTTGCAAGTCGCTGAACTGAGAAAGCCTGATGGTTGGTTAGAAGTTATCCATGCCCTAGACAAGCACTACCGTTTTCTGCCTGAAACTGAGCTCCACGAAGCCGTTGAGGAGTTCCTTTTTGGAATGAAGCGTAAGTCTGGGGAAGGTGCAACTTCATTCAGTTCGCGTTTCAGAACTCAGCTGTCCCGTGTGCAGTCACTGATAGCCCAAGAGCGTGAGATGACAAAATCAAAGAGACGTGGAAAGAAGGGAAAACGTTCCCGAGAGCTCACCAATGCAGTAGAGCCTGAAAGCAGCCTAGAAGAATCCGCAGTTTCAGATGTTCCAAGACAAGCCGAAAGACCTAGGTCCCCATCTGCAACTGGAGATGAGACTTCAGCACATGCTGCTGAGCCTGCTAGAGCTTCTGCTTCAGCCCAACCTGAAGCTGGTCGTGAAACAAGTGATCCTGATGCCGAACATGAGCCGAGCGTGCATTCAGTTCGCTCGCGTGTGCCTTCCTCTCAAGGTTCCAAGCGGAAAAGTGAACAGGGGTCAAGGGTTTCCAAGACTTCCCGGGGTACCCACAAAGCTGATAGAGAACGAGAAGATCGAAAGATGCTGGAAATGTTGGGTTCACTGGAATGTGGTCATTTACGACCCAAGCCCATTTTCCCACAAGCAATTCTTGGTCACCTTTACATGAGGAAGTTTGGTATGAATCGAGAACAACGTGCTCATATCATCAGGTCTACAAATGGTTCCTCTCGTTTGGATGATGTTGAACGTATCATTCGAGCTTCAGACTTGGAGGAGTTTAGAAATGATGACCGTAGAAGGAATGATGATCGAAAGCCTTTCAAACAGCCTAGAAGGGATGCCTATGCAGTTCAATCGGAACCCCAACATGCAATGCTTGCGGATGATGGGAATTCTTCTTCTAGCCTGGGTGAAGTTTTCGATGATGAATCAGAGTCTGAAGATGCTTACGTAGCAGCGGGAGATGAAGATGGTGATACCGAACAAGAACTACAAGAAGTTTATGAAATTCAGAGAAAAGCCAAGAAAGATTTCCGTAAGAGCTACAAAACCTATAAGGAGTCCAGAAAGAAGGTGAGAGAAATCAAGAAAAGCCGCACTCCTTACCTTCCAGTTGTGGCTATCAACCAGCCATCCGATGCGCAAGCTTCAGGCCAAGCACCTGTCCTGAGGCAAACCTTTGGCTATGACAAGAAGACAACTGGAGGCAAAGCTCAGCCCAAACGGAAATCAGATTCAAAATTTGCTGGAAAGAAGGAAGAAGCTAATTTAGCCACTACCACCGTGGTTGAACAGTTTTCCTACATGGTTTCCTCCAACGACATGATTGATGATGATGTTTGGTTGACAACAGTTCCTGAGGGATATGCCATTTTGGATACTGGTTGCACTACATCCATAGTTGGTAACGAGACTGCCGAGAGCCTCAGCAAGTTCATGAGTTCCCATGGATGGCCCTTGCCGGTTTCATGCAGCCTGCCGCCTGTTGAACTGAAAGGTTTTAATGGCACCAAAGTGGAATCAACTAATGGTTTGCGTTGGAATGTGAAACTGGGAAACCTATGGGGAACAATAACAACATATGTGGTACCTGGTTCTGCACCCTTTTTGCTGTCGCGCAGAGCTTTGGAGGGAATGCAAGCTCGCTTGGACTTGGGCAGTTTGACCATTACGTCCGAGAAGCATGGCATGTTTGATGCACCTTTGAGACAGGCCTCCAACGGTCACCTTTTGTTGCCCCTCATTCATGTGCCGCCTGAGCTGACCACCTCCACTGGTGACGATGCCGCAGCCTCCAGCATTTCAGAAGAACAAGAGCCCAATGACGCATGCCCAGAGAACTTTGCTGTTGCCTGTGAGGACCCGCCAGCACCAGTTTCTCACAAGCCATGCAAAATCACAACCAGTGATAGACGCCGAGCCTTCCAACATGTTGTGAAGAATACTCGAAAAGGGGTAGTTAATGTAACCCGGTTTCAAAAGGAGTTGGAAATAATCTATGGGGGTAAGGGTAAGCAAATCGTACATGCTTTGGTTGCTTATAAGCCGCGCTTAGAGCGCATACCAGCAGATGCCAACACCGTAGCATACCAAAGATCAGTTGCCACCCTCACCACAGATGGTCAATTTCTTGTTCAGCCGTGGAACAACCGCCCTGCAGGAGAAGTTCGTCGTCCTGTCAATCAAGTGAATGTTTGCATGTTTGCATACATAGCCCCTGAGTCCACGGAGCCTGCACGACCTGTGACTGACCACCACCATGACCACACATGTTTTTGTTGCAGGGAATGTGATTCAGAGGGCGATGATGTTTGTTTTCAAGTTGGGGGAGATGATGGTTTGTCCATGGAAGCTGTTTATGGAGAATCAACCAATTGGACCGATGTTCCAAAAATGCAAACCATGTCCCCTGAATCCCAAGAAAAGCTGAAAGCGGGTATCCAAAGACTTCGAAAAACTTATGCCCAGTTTATCATGTCACGTCTTATGGGGAAGTATGATGAATTGATAGAAGAACTAACTGAGTGGTTAGGCCCTCAAGCCCATAAGCTACATGAGACTGTCAGCATGATTGAGGTTTTCACGGGTAAGGCACCTTTGGCCGATCGTGTGGAACAATGTGGATCCACGTGCATTCGAATAGGCTTGGACTATGGACAAGACTTAAATCAACATAGCCATCGGCGCAAGTTGCTGTTGTTGATTGCGTTTTGCCAGCCAACAGATGTTTGGATCAGTTTCCCATGTGGTTGCTGGGGTCCATGGAGCCGCATGAATATGCACAAAGATCCTGGTCTCGCACAGTCCACACTTGATGCCAGACGGGTTGCCCGCCGACACCTGTCTATAGTGCCTGAAATATGGAATCTTCAGCAGTCCCTTGGTGGGTTCACTCACATAGAAAATCCACTGACTTCCGATGCCTGGAAGGAGTTTCAGTTGCACATGGCCTATGATGTTCGCATTGACCAATGCAGCCTTGGTTTGCGATGCCCTAGGACTAAGAAGCCCATTCTTAAGCCCACTCGCATTGTAACTTCCTGCAAGGAAATGGCCACCCGGCTTTCCACATGCCGATGTGACCGACGCCATGAGCATGCCCACTTAGAAGGTAGTTATAAAGGTAAACCTTTAACCTCCTATGCTGAAACCTATCCACGCAAGATGTGCCGAGTGATTGCTGAAGTGATGACCGCACCAAACCGCGTGCCGTCAAAGCCAGAAGATGTTTTTGCCAGCCTGGACGACCTAGACATAGAGCAAGATGCCATGTCTGATGCTGCCGGTGCCGAACCAGGTGCCGAACTTGCCAATCCGGCGGAACCGCCAGTGCCGCAGCAGAGGATTCAATCCATGTTGCGAAAGTTGCATGTCAACACAGGACATTCGTCCATACAGCAGATGCTACGACTTGCCAATCGTTGCCAAGTTTCAGATGAAGTCAAACAGGAAATCAAAAAGTTTAAATGTGACATCTGCGATGAGCACAAGGTTCCACCGACACATCGTCAGTCTGCCGTCCCACATGCAGAGCAGCCGAACCACATAGTCGGCATTGACTTTGTGCAAGTTGAGTTAAAGCATGTTAATGACCAAGGGGATACAGTTGAGGATAAGTACAATGTGCTAACATGTGTTGACTTAGCCACGGACTTCGCCCAACAAATCATAGTCCCTAAGGGTAGTTACCAGCTTTCCAAAGCCTTCCACAATGTTTGGACTCGACCGTATGGCGCACCAAAAATCATCTACACAGATCCAGACAGTGCCACGATGTCAAAAGACTTTGAACACTACATGCTCAACCATGACATCAAGCTGCTGCACTGTGGAGCCGAAAGCCACTGGCAATTAGGTCGCGTAGAGATAGCCAACCGTGTCCTTCGAGGAATGGCCCAGAGAATTTGGCAAGACACCGACCGTCCAGCTGCAGAAGTCATCGAAGTATGCGCAAGCATCCGAAACCAACAACTCAGAAAACATGGATTCAGCCCTTGTCAATGGTTTCTAGGTCAAGACACCAAACATGCAGGTATGTTGAATGATGTTGAAGAACAGCGGAACTTCCCAATGCAATCCCAAATCTTAGCCGAACCAGAGTTTCAAGCTCGTGTCCAGTTGCGGGAAAATGCAGCTCGTGCCTTCCTGGAAGAACATGCCAAAGACACTTGGCGCCGTGCACTTGCAAGCAGATCCCGGCCGATGCGGGGTCCATACACAGTTGGCCAGCTTGTTTACTTTTTCCGTAAGAGGGCAAGAGGTCTACTGTCCACCCGTCATGGAGTTTGGTATGGTCCTGGAAAAATAATCGGTTGTGAAAGTTCCACAAATGGTGTCATACCTAGAGTCATTTGGGTAGCTTTCAATGGGTTTCTCTACAAATGCTCCCCCGAAGGTCTCCGTCCGATGACTGAAGATGAGAGTCAATTCAGGGAGTTAGCCAGGTCCTTGTCCCAAGGTAGATTAGACCCTGCCATAGAAAATGCTGAGCAGAGCCTGTCTAGCCGAGCCCCTCAATATCATGATCTCATGGATGATAACCCTGAAGCATCAGATGAGGAGTTAGAGGATGATGTCCTGCGTGAGTCCAGACCCTTGGAAGATCCTGATGAAGAGGGCGGTCCCCGAAAAATAAGGAGAATAACCAGAACAAATGAGTACTGGCAAAAACGTTCAAGAGGAATGCCTCCCTATGGTTCTTTGCAGGATGGATCCCTTCCACAAATCATAGGTCCACATAGCTTAGCTGGTCATCAAGATGAAGAACCACCCGCAAAACGTAGAGCAGTTCTTGATGGCATCCCAGAAGAAAATATGGAACAAGATAGGCTAAGCAATGAGTATGAACCTGGTACTCCAGTTCCTTCAGAACAAATGGATCCACCTGATGAAACGATGGATCAGCCAACTGAAGTCATGGAGCCTGCAGCAGAAGCCATAGATGATGCCTCTCCAGAGGAGTTTGCACCCGGACTTTCCGTGTCGCCGGATGTTCCAACCAATGATGATCAATCCAGTCTTGAACAAACCTTGCAGCAAGCTGTTGAACAACCTGTTCCAACGGATGATGAGCTGATGGTTGAAACAACTGCTGGTCAAGCCAAGCTCAAAGAAAGTGTGCTTGAGGTTTCGCTTGATGTCAACCGCGACGACATCACCGCAGACCCTTTTTGCCTTTTCAATGTTCTTGACGAATGCCTGACTGTTGCAGCGCCAAAAGCAAAACTCCGTCGTGTAGAAGTAAACTACCGAAAGCTGCAAGAAGCCGATAAAGCCTTGTTTCAAAAAGCAATGCAAAAAGAATGGCAAAGCTGGGTAGACAATCGTGTAACATCCTTGTGCAAAAACAGAGGTATATCCCCAGATCGCATAATAAGGGCTAGATGGGTACTCACCTGGAAAAAGAGCTCAGATCCAGATGACAAATCCCGTGTTCCTAAAGCCAGACTTGTGCTGATTGGTTGGGAAGATCCAGAATTGGGAAAGATAGCAACTGATAGTCCAACACTCCGCAAAGAGAGTAAACACTTAGCCTTGTCAATATGTGCTGCAAACCCATGGAAAGTGTTTGGAGCCGACATAAAGACGGCGTTTCTTTCTGGAGACAATTCCCAAAGAGAGATCTACTTCAAACCTCCAGCTGAACTAAAGGAATGGTTGCAACTTAGCTATGATGATTTGTTTCGTCTTGAGAAAGCTGCATACGGACTGGCAGAAGCTCCAAGAGCATGGTTTTTACGCTTGAGCCGTGAAATGCGAGAGGCAGGACTGTGCCAAAGTCAAATAGACCCTTGCTTGTTCACCCTCGGAGTTAAAGGAAAACTATGTGGTGTATGTGGTATACATGTTGATGACCTCTTAGGAGGAGGAACACCTGCCATGGATGCAATTCTCAACAAGTTGCGTGCCAAACTGCCTTTTGGGGACTACAGAACCTTCACTATACGCTACACTGGCATAGAGGTTAGGCAAAACCCCAATACTTTTGAAATAGAGATTGGTCAAGAAGCCTACATAGATGCCATGGAGTGTGTTCAAACAAAACCACTGGGTACAGCGAGCACTCCACTGCCTGACAAGTCCATTTTGCGGACGTGCGCTGGTCAGCTAGCATGGGTTTCCAATGCAACACGACCCGACCAAGCCTTCTTGTCCAGCTACTTGCAAGGTGTTCAGGATAAAGGTCTTGTTTCCCATGTCCAGTTGTACAACAAGGGAGTCAGAGAAATGAAGGAAAAGAAAGTTTGCCTGAGATTCCCAAGCACAGTCCCAATTTCCGACTGGCGGCTTGTGTGCATTGCTGATGCCGGTTGGGCAACCCGTGATAGCGGCGACAGCCAAGGGGGATACCTGTTGCTGATTGCTGAAAGCAAAATGCTTGACCGAAAACATGCACGATGCTGGCTGGTAGACTGGTCGTCCAAAAAGCTCAAACGTGCAGTTCGCAGTTCAGTCGCAGCCGAAACCTTGTCTGGACAGAATGGCCTAGACGCTACAGAGTTGTTCCAAGCACTTATGTTGGAAACGTTAGATGGAATAACCCCCAGGCAATTTCGTGAAATGACACCCTCAAAGCCTGCAGCCTTGGTCATAGATTCAAAAGGGTTCTATGACGCTATCACTAGAAGTTGCTGCTCCCAAGCAATCTCAGTTGAACGCCGTTTGCAAATTGACTATGCCATAGCAAAAGAAACGATGAAGAAACAAAACATACTACCGTTTTGGGTTAACAACCTACGCATGGCCGCAGACTGCCTAACCAAGCTTCGTGGGGAAACCAAAATCCTTTATGAAATCTTGGAAATGGGTTTTTACCAAATCAAAGTTTGCACTGTTTCTGGTCGTCGTGAAAAAGCTGGTGAAGGGTCCAAAAACACAAAACCTTGAGCAAGCCTTCCTTTTACCGAAAGTGCCATCCTTAGAAGAGTGTGGTAACCAGTGAAGCCTGTGATAAAACCAGTTCACTCCCGGATCGCATGATGTATAGATGTACAGTGTATAGATAATGGGATAAGGTAAGCCATAAGGGGTAATACAAGAGTCCAGCCGTTTTGCAAGCCACCATGTGTCTGAGACAATGGTTGTTGTTTTTACCTGAGTTTTTTTCCAAAGATCGAACCCAAGCTTGACGTGCTCCCACGTATATCGTCCAAAGACCATGGCGATGCCGAGTCCTGCGAAGCGCTTGACCCCTATGTCCAGCAGCCTTCAGGGACCACTCTCCGAAGATGAGATGGGCATTGCGGGCGGCCTACTTGCCCGTGCCGTACACCATGGCCAGCAGCAGCAGCTAGCCCTGAGGATCATGAGATCCGTTGGTGGAAAATCGATGTCTGTGGCAGCCGGATGTTTTCTGGAAGGTGTGCAAAGTGGCCTGTATGGAGCTATGTCTGACGGAGCCAAGCGTCAGAGGGATGAAGAATCCGAATGGGGTCTTCTCACAGAAGGAGCTGATAGCCCCACCACTGCATACTATGCCAGCGCTGAGAATCCGTGCCCACCGATGCCGAGCGGCAGCCATGTGACTGGAACTCCTATGCCAGGAGACAATTTGGTTCTCATTCTCCGCAATGGAGAAGATCTCAAAGTGCCGATTCCGAGCGATGTTCTCTCTGTGGGAGAATGGTCCAAGACAGTGATCACCTTGCCGAAGCTTGCAGACTTGGGCATCACCTATGCAGAGTTCATCGTCAAGGCCGAGGGAGATAAGGACTTGTCTCAGTATGGAGAGTTCATGCTGGCGAACTTCGGACCGTATGCCAAGACCCAGAAGGCCAAAGGTCATACCCAAGGAGTTGACTTTGCCCACTTCCTTGCCCGGGTGAAGTTCCATGGATCTGGCACTACTCAGGGCACTTTCCGCCGTGTGCTCCGAGAATGAGTCCGAGATGTGGTCGCAGCTGTCAAAAGATGGCGATCTATGAGGATGAAAGAAGAAAGCCTTTGGATCTTTCTACACCCTCTCGGATAGAGGGCGTGTGAATTTCAGTGACATGCTGCACCTGAGGTCCGCATTCACCTATGTGTATCCTCGCGGCTGTTATGGTCCAAAGGGCCCTTGATGCCAATACTTGGCATAGCGGAGGAAAACGTTGTGTGTGAGCCATTTGGCTATTGCGTTGCTTGGTGTGAGGATTCATATCCTATAACAACCTGAAGGTCATATCTGTTTGCTTGAAGGGGCATCCACTCCCCATTAACTGACAGTTGGATTGGCTACCTGCTTCCGCATATATATACACATTATCTCTATACTTACGCATGTCACATGTCGTAGATCAGCCCTTACAACCCATATCCGTGCGTCTGCGACCCCATGCACGGCATACCGCATACCACACTTTCAAGTGAATCTGCCCATACACGACCATGGATACCCTGCCTCAAGTACCACTGGATGGGTCTTTTTCAGCCTCAAAAACAAAGGGCTGTTGAACCTTGCTACAAAAAGGTTCAATTTTTTCTGACTTCATACAGGAAAGTGACCAGTTCATGTCACACACTCGTTGGTGCAATATCTTCCAATAAGAAAAATAATGTATACACAAATCAACGCAGGAAAACGCATTTTCTTTCGTAGGATCTGGCACTTTTTCCCAGGGAGCTTTCAGATTTGGTTGTTCTTCCCGATACGCTTGGCACATTCTCCTGCTAGAAAGTTTCAGAAAGAATAGTTGAATCAAGTTGAATCGTCTTGTAAGAACGGTGCTTTTTCGTGCTATGGCGCCTTTGTGCAGCACATACGCTTGGTAGCAACGGCACATATCTTTCTATGAATGGTACGATGTCGAATGATGCAAAGAAACGATCCCTTCGTTGAGGACGACTGTTCCTGCACTTGGTAGGGCTGTTGCCTGACTCTTTGAAAAAGCCGTGTCTTCAAATATGTTCACTGACTCAGTCTGACAAAAAGGGATGTTGCTCTTCTTTCTTACCTGGACCTCTACACTGTGGGGACTCTTGCTTGTTCGAAACAAGTAGTTTTGTGTCCTCTGAAGTTGTAACCTTGCATGCCTTCCTGCAAAAGGGCCAACAGGGGGCCAAACTCTATGTTTCCTTTTTGCGCGTTTGTTGCTGCCATCTGAAATGCGCACATGGTGTCTTTTTTGGCATACGTGTCTATGTCTATGTGCAAACATGTATGCATAGAGAGCGAGAGAGGGATGATGCGTTCAAAAAACATCAAGTATTCTGCTGTTCAGCAAAATGTTCCACACACACAAAATATGGTTAAGGTATAGGGATAGGACTATGTTGATATACTGTACTCACATCAAGATTAGATTATGTTGCATTTGTATTTCGTACCATGTCGTTCCACTCTTGCGCACGACCATGTGGCTTTGATTCGCTTTGGGTGATTTTCTCGTGTTTTCTGATTTTTATCATAGTTTTGAACTGCCCCGGTTGCTTGAAGTCAACTGCTTTTGCCGCTCATTTTGTCGCAGGCTGGTACAGTACGAATATGAACATGAACTTCCCTATCAAAAGGCTGAAGGTCGGACGGATCTTCAGGAAGCTTTGTCTGAAGGTGCTGCACCTGAATGTGTCGCTTTTGCTCCAGCTGATTGCGCTTCAAATTGCAAGTTCCACTTATGTGACGTGTCCTTGACATTCCTTGGAAGGAACTGGGCGGAACTGAGCTGGAATCCAAATCACAAAGAAGACGCTGGAGAGGCGTGGTGATGCCTTGGCGAAGAAACTGTTTGCATTGAAATGCAGGCCACTTACAATTACTTAACACGCCTATTTTGGCATAGATACTGTAATGTCAAATTGTTTCATGGTGTTTCTTATGTGCAACGCAGGACTGTCTAGGATTGAACGGGTCCTGAAAAGTGCAACAAGCAAGCAGTACTGGATGTATGCTGGCTCCTAACGAAACAACCACAACTGCACCCTCTGTCAACAAGTTCAAACTTTCTTGGAGTTGGACCAGTCAATTTTTCCAGCTCCCTATAGAGAAACGCAAAGTCCTTAGCGGGGAGTGCTCTCTGCTTGCATCACCCGACCAAACAACGCAACAATGTTTCCTACATTTTCCTACAATGTTTCCAAGGTGAAAACCAACATAGGTTAAGGCAAGCTCAAAACTCTCAGACACCCCCATGGACAATTATGGAAACATGGTGAATTGGAAACATGTTTGATTTCCCGGAAGGACATAGAAGAACATTTTGAGGCTCTCCAACAGCTGGGTCCGCTGCCAACAGCAAGCGGTCACCGAGCGAACGACCCAAGCCTGAGGTGTGCTTAGTGCTAGCAGGTGCAAAAACTCAGTCCCAAAAGCAGCCTCTAAGAAATCCCTCTCTCTCTCTCTCTACGTATATACAGTACCTATATATATTATATTATGTATATATATATATACACATGTAATACTTTTATATACATTTCATTATGCATCATCAATTTTCATAATCATAATCATATTTCATACTTGATTTCATACCACAAAAGCATAAAAACATGAAATGACGCGCTTCCACTGTCAAGCCATCTGGTCGCATCTGGTCGCACCAAAAAGATGTTGGCCGCAGCCAGGTCATGTGCTTCTGTAGTGCTTCGTGAAGGTTTCCAAATGGTGGCGTCGCTGCTTTCTATCATCTTTCTGGGGTTGTTTCCTCCCCATCCTTTGAGTGAGTCATTCTTAATTCATGTTTCTTGAGTGTCAAACCATTTCAGACCTACATACTGGATGGGTACATTTTTGTCATTTGGATCATGCCTTTATGTGCAGGACAAAGCATCTTGAAAAAACATTTCAAGAGTTGCTTCAAGATCTGCCGGTTTTGGGTTTTTGTATGTCTGGGTTGCAGTTGCATTGGGAAGCATCTCCGTGGCTTTTGTTTTGCACCTCGATGCTGCATTTCGAGGGTAGCCCTGGTGAACTTTCTCATATGTTTGGTCATCGTCATTGCCTTTCAAAGCGGAATTACCATCTGAAAGTCCTGCGGACAGCAAATAAAAAAGAATAATGATGCTGGGAAACTGGTCTTCCGGAAAATCTTGGTGTGTATATATGTATATATGTATATATATATATATGTACATATATATATATATATGTACATATATATATATGTACATATATATATATGGGCAAATTATAATAATTCACTAACCTGAAATAAGGCCATTTTGGGGTGATTCCACTTATTAACCATGATTCCAGTGAGGTCGCAGTGAGGTCGTTATAATTTGCCCATATAAATATATATATATGCATATATATATATATGTATATGTATATGTATATGTATGTGTATGTGTATGTGTATATGTATATGTATGTATATATATATATGTATATGTATGTATATATATATATGTATGTATATATATATATGTCTAATGATTTAATGTGTATATGTATATATGGTCTCGTGTTCCGTGTTCCTACCCCCCTCCCCCCCAATGGGATGGGTCCCCAGGTAGCACCCCGTTCCCTTCTATTTGCAAGCTATTGGCAGCATTTCTGAGGTCCAGCCTCGTATTTGCTAGGTTTTTGCAGCGATTCTGACTACCAGCCTCGCATTTACTAGGTACATGCTACCTTTGAGACGACCTACGTAGCACACATACTCCCTCAAAGTACCTACGTGCTACCTATAGTTATATATACACGTGCTATGTATCTACTTCATATATGTATTTAAATTTTTTATTTATGTATTTATATTATAGACACATACATATGTATATACATACATACATACATACATACATACATTCATTACATACATACATACATAACATTACATAACATTACATAACATTACATAACATTACATAACATTACATAACATTACATAACATTACATAACATTACATAACATTACATCACATTACATAACATTACATAACATTACATAACATTACATAACATTACATAACATTACATAACATTACATACATTACATACATTACATACATTACATACATTACATACATTACATACATTACATACATTACATACATTACATACATTACATACATTACATACATCACATACATTACGTACATTACCTACATTACATACACTACATACATTACATACATTACATACATTCCATACATTACATACATTACATACATTACATACATCACATACATTACATACATTACATACATTACATACATTACATACATTACATACATTACATACATTACATACATTACATACAGTACATACATTACATACATTACATACATTACATACATTACATACATTACATACATTACATACATTACATACATTACATACTTACATACATACATTACATACATTACATACATTACATACATTACATACATTACATACATTACATACATTACATACATTACATACATTACATACATTACATTCATATATACATTACATTCATTCATTCATTCATTCATACATACATACATACATACGTACATACATACATACATATATATATACATATTCATATTTATATACATATATATATATACATACATTACATACATACATACACATATATATATATACATATTCATATTTATATACATATATATATATATATACATGCAAATAAAAACACACACATATATATATATATTGTATACATGTATACATGCATATATATATATACATATATATATATACATACATATATATATATATGTATATACACATACATATTTTCATATATATATATATACAACCACACCCCCACCACACCACAGGGTGGGAGGGGGACAGTACCACACCCCCACCACACCACGGGGGGGAGGGGGACAGTACCACACCCCCACCACACCACAGGGGGGGAGGGGCACAGTACTATGGCTGACCCATGACCATGGCCGGGGGGGGGGAGGGGGGTTGGAACGCTGGACCATATATATACATGTACATGTATTTTTCTTGTATGCTGTCTTGGGCAAAGGCTGCCGGGCAAAGACAAAGAACTCTCTGCCGCAAAAAAGTGAGCAAACATTTTGGCAGCTTAAGCCTCAATCAATGTATCACTTTCTATCACAGAATGGGAAGCACAAATCAAAAGAGATGGAGGAAGAGAGGAATGTAATGATATGATTGGTAGTATTCTCATTGCTTAAATGCAGGATCGTGCGTGGGCAAAAGCAAACGTTAGAACCACAGATTGAGATTTGGGTTCTTGCTTATCTCTCAAACAAATGGTGAATGCCTACACAAAGCATCGAATCACCAATATGGAAATATGTTTTGAACATGAGCAAATGCTATCGTTTTTGGTGAGTGCATTATCATCTTCCAAGCCTCAGCTCAATTTCTCAAAAATATAGATGTCTCGAATACTAGTGTCCATTATATAATCTAAACTTTGGCTGTAGCTCATGTAAAATGTGCAAATGGCTACCAGCAAAGTTTGACGGAACTCATGTGAGATAGTAGAAGTGCATGAATGTACGAGTACAATGTGGAACCAAAGCACATTAAAGGCAAAGGTACAAGCCATGTGACCGCTGAGCAACGCGCTGTCAGAATATGGAGGGGACGGTGCTGGAATGTCTTGCTCAAGCCTGCACAAAGTGTGAATAGTCAAGTGATGGTAACATGTAAGACAGCTTGGCTATTGCTGCAAAATGTTTCCTTGGAAAAAAAACATGGAAAAAATATCGGGCGACACGCATCCTGACCATTCCTGACTTATCCTGTGAAGCAAAAGAGTTGTGTAGATTGCCTCTGTTGGAAGGAAGACGCTATCTCCTCGAAGGCCCGGGCGAATATCTTCCTGTGGCAACGATTCTGCGCACGTTTACTAGAAATGCATCTGGGAGAACAGAGAGCTGCAACCTGTCACGCAAGGACCTAGAGCTAGATTGACCTAAACCAACATCAAAAGCACAACACATGGAAATCCTTCGATCCCTACATCTGTGAGTCTCTAGATATCTAGATCTTCCCAAAAGAATAAACAAGAATAATCTAAATATACAACACGCAACAGCAATCGCCACCTGGGTCTCATCATGGGATCATGGGATCATGCAGTTTCAGTGTGTGGCCCATGGCCCAACGCTGTTTAGGCTAGTTATGGCTAGCTGCCCACGGATGCAACTGAAGATAACTGAAGTCTACACGGCACATATCTGCGGCCTTACGCTATCGTAATTCAGATGCCGCAGCAACACACGGTACATTGCGGTAATGTCCTGGCATTTGCGCACTCGTCACAAGATCGACAAGCACAGCACAGAATGCAAACAAGAAATGCAACATGGAGGGAGAGCCATTGACCGAACAGCGGTCCAAATCTTTGCACAACTCACAGTATTTCACAGTGCACGCTGCAAGCAAGGGGGTTAAAGCTTCATTCCCTTTTATAGGTAACTACATTTAAATATACGGATTTTTAAATATCGAACAGGAATTTTAGACCACCTTCGGGAACGTTTTCCTTGGCCCGCCCAGCCATTTAAACATACGGAATCCAATTCATTTAAACATACTGCAACTACATTTAAATAAATATACGAACTGGTATTTCATACTACCTCCGGGGCCTGGCGGTCTGGCCCGCCCTCCACATATTTAAATGTCGTTAATCCTTGCCTTCACAAGCCCTTCTAGAGACTCGTGTTCGCCGAGACTAGACCTCAACTTGCTGAAATTGCCCGGTATATCACATGGTGTCAAAGTCAGAGAGTTACTTTCAAACACCATTTTCAAAATATCCAGCAAGGGCATTGAAAGAACCTCAATGTAGATCATGGATGATCATGGCGATGTGCATCGAATCCAGGATCACGGTCGCTTCTGAGTGGTGGTTCGCTCTGAGTCCTGTACTCACTTCGCAGAGCTGCCATGGCGTCTCCCTTCAGCTCACGTGACAAATCACATCAAATCACCAAACATGAACCTTGCGTCAACTTACTCTACTGCACATCACCACATCTCCTCGCTTCACTGCTTCACATCTCTGATCATCTCTTCAAACAGTCTTCAAACAATTTGAAGGCCTTCCATATGTCCGGACCCTCAGAATGCGGCACCTCAGGAACCGAAAATCCCTCAACTTGGAATTCAATGAGATTTGAAGCTACCAGATGTCAGCGGCACCACGATTAGAGTTAGAGACACAAACATGCAGTCAGGATGATCCAGGAAGCAGTAATTGCGGAGACATGTCCAAAATATGATGTTTTTTCAAGTCTCAAAATCAATACGGCAAGCTTGAGTTGCTTGGTCAGTAATTTTGATCCATCATTCTGGAAGGCACTTGACTACTACACAGCTGCATGAAAATCACGAAGAAACTGCAGTAAGAATTCCCTCGCAGTAAATTTTGATCTGCATCCAAGCGGGTGGAAAGCCGAGCTCTTTGCTTTCAGCCAACGCTGAGAGTGCTTCTCATAGTGCACTCGCAGTAGGTCCTCAATCTGAAATGCAAACAACTTAGTGCTTTGGATCGCTTTGAGATGCTGATGCTTTGGGATCTTCGATGTATAGCAACACATATATTATGTACATTTAATTTACATTCCATTCTGCTCATGCGCGCTCGAGCATGTAGTTAGGCACATGTGCATGCACCCCACATCTTCATTAGCGTCTTAGTGCTTTGACACTCGGCGTGACATTCTTGGAAACGTGGATATGCGCGTTTGGCACTTGGCAGAGAAGCGTTCCACATAATTAGATCCAATTATAGGTATCTAGTGACTGTGTCTATGTGGCCTGTGTTAGGGGTATCTGGCACAGCTGTGCAGGCTTGCTGCCAACATAGAGACTGCAGATACCAGAGGGACCCAGAGGGGATATTTGGCAATTGAGGATAATTGAGGAGGTAAAGCCAATTTCCCTGCCTGGTGTATTTCACCCAGGAACATTGTTCCAAGCAGAAATGGAGCACAGCTGCCGGGAGTTCGGGTTCCGAATCTGAAACGGATTCTCGGCGAACTTATAGTTGGACGGCTAATGAAAGGATGGTTTTTCGGTGGGCAATGGACAGCCTGAAGCATTTTGCCACCCGTGCACTTTCTCATTATCTGCTCTGCACCAAATTAATAACTCGCCATTAATATAAACAATACAAAGAATCGGTAGCTCCCAAAATGGTCTTGCAATGTTGTGCCATACATGATATGTTTTCCGTACAGCGATGTATTTGTAGCCCTGCTCCTAGTCCTATACTTGGGTCATTGATGCATGCTCATTGCAAACTCAGCCTTGCAAGTTGTGTTGCTCAACATCGGGTACTGGCAGTTGTTTGTTTCAAAACTTCCACACTGTGACACAAATTCTTCCACCAAAGGACATTCGCTAGGGGGATATGCAGGGATATGTATGTATATTAAATATATAATATGTATAATTATATAATTATACATATATATATATATATGTTTAATTATCGAAGGAAGTTTAGAAGTCAAACTTCCGACAGTATGGACAGATGAAAAGCAGAGTAGGGGAGAGGCAGAGAGAAGAGGAAGATTAGAAGAGAGAAGATGAGAAGAGAAAGAGTCAGAAGAAAGAAGATACAGATGCGCGAAAAGGTAGGAAAGTCGCGAAACACTGTGTTTTTCCAATGATTTGTGGCTCAGGAGGGTCGAAAAGTAGGCTCGCTAAAGCGGCGGGTGCGGAGCCAGCTGGTCACAGGAGCGATGAAAAATTGCACGCCGTTGTGGCGCGAAGCACATTTCCAAGTCAAAATGTACAAAACACCTCAGCTTCGGACCACTTTTGGATGTCGAAAAAGTGCACGCCGTTGTGGCGCGAAGCACATTTCCAAGTCAAAATGTCCAAAACACCTCAGCTTCGGACCACTTTTGGAAGTTGAGATGTCGAAAAAGTGCACGCCGTTGTGGCGCGAAGCACATTTCCAAGTCAAAAGTGTTAAAAACTGGCGGTCTCGGACCACTTTTGGAGGTTCAGATGTCGAAAAGTGTCGAAAAAGTGCACGCCGTTGTGGCGCGAAGCACATTTCGAAGTCAAAAGTGTAAAAACTGAGGGTTTTGAGCCTTTTTTGACGTCAAGATGTCGAACAAGTAGACACTGATTAACTTAACTAACTTGACTAACTTAATTAACTTCACTAACTTAACTACCCTAACTTCGACGACAACAGCAACAGCAACAGCAACAGCAACAGCAACAACAACAACAACAACAACAACAACACCAACCACAACCACAACAACAACAACACCAACCACAACAACTACAACAACTACAACTACAACAACTACACGACAACTACAACTAGAACTACAACTACAACATCTACTACAACAACAGCAACAACAACAGCAACAACAACAACAGCAACAACAACAACAACAACTACAACTACAACTACAACTACAACTACACAACAACTACAACTAGAACTACAACTACAACAACTACAGCTACAACAACAACAACAACTACTACTACTACTACTACACTACACAACAACTACAACCACACAACAACTACAGCTACAACTACAACAACAACTACAACTACAACAACTACAACTACAACTACAAAACAACTACATCTACAACTATATGACTGCAACTACACTACACTAATTACATTACACCACAACTACAACTCCACTACGCTACAACTACAACTACAGTTGCAGTACATCACACTACACCCAGCAGTTGTGGGTGAGGTGACCACTGCAACCATTGCAACCATTCCAGCAAACACAACTCCAACCACCTTTCGGTCAATCAGTGGATTCGCTCTGCCATCCGTGATTCACAACAACCAACGTCTCCTATAGGTTTCCTATTCTGAAACTTCCGCCACCGCCTTGTGCGGTACTACTGGTATTTATAACTCATTGCAATGCCCTTGCAATGCCTTTGCAGTGCCCTTTCTGCTTGGTCACGTCATGTCACGTCACGTCATGTCCCAATTCTACAAAGGGTTCCTGTATCGCAAATGGTCTACCCAGGAGTAAGCTCGCCTGTTCAAGACGGCGCTTGACTTCCTCTATTTAAATTTACTGTACTTGATACATGCACGTTTTTGTCATGCATTGTATGCCTGCGACAGAGTCACATGCATCAATCCCATGGTGAATTTGGTCTCAACCATTGACAATCAGACAGGCACGAAGAAAGATGCATTTGAAGGAGCTTCAGCAGGATTCTTTGAAACAAAGCAATCCCCTTGAGAGGAACCCTTTGTTTCTGATGTTTTCTGTTTGACTTTCTCAATGTATGCAAGCGCTCGCCCTTTTCAGACTTTGGCTACCAGGAGCCCCAAGCAAGGTGCTCCAAAGATGTGCAATACTTTGAAGTCAAATCTTGGTCAAAGTGCTCTGTTTTCACCCTGGCTCTTGCTTGATGGAACAAATTCATCACAGTTTTGCAATGCTTTTACATGTCTTTACAGTGAATTTGGACATGTTGTTCTTCGTTTCTTGTTCCAACATGGACATTTGTCGCATTTGTCGCATTTGTCGCACTTGTCGCATTTGTCGCATGGACGCTTGGCTGAGGTCATTGCACTGAGCTTTCCAAATAGCGCTGTCCGATGCTCAGCAAATTCCTCAGCAATTGTGCAGGTTGTGCAAGGAGAGTCCTTCGATTGTGCTTGGATGCCGAGTTGCATGGAACAAACATGAACAGATATCATCAAAGTATATAAATGATTATAAGATTTATACCTTATGAGAATTTATGAGAATAGTCTATAAGTCTATAAGATTCTATAAGTACCTGAGCAATCTGCAGAGGCAATTTTTGAGAGGTCATTCAGCAAAGCAGCGACCTGGGTCGGTTTGTCACATCAAAATGAAACAAAGCAGTTGACTTCAAACAAAGCAGTTTGATTTCAAATTGGCCATTCATGGCTATTCTAAGATATTGCAAGGCCAAGTCCAGGGAAGTTTGCTGCCTATGGCTTTGCTGTCGTGTGAAGCCGTCTCTATATTTCATATAATTATATATAATTATCATATATTCTTAAATCTCGTTAGTATTTTGCTTCACACTGATTCATCTGATTCAGTTCAGAGTTTTCCACAGTTCGGGGTGTTCGAGGCACCGGCAAAGTCCCCTTTCGCAGCAGCCTGGGCATTCTGCACGTGTGGACTTTCGCCAGCAGCGTTTAGCCGAGTCTGCAGAAGCCTGAGCCAGGACGTGAAGACAGAATTCAACTAGGAGAACTTGATGCAAATGCACAGCAATAGCACTACGAACGAACATCTACGCAAATGATACAAATTTGTAAGTCGTCATATGTAAGTCATTGTAAGTCTATGCAGTCTATGTTACTCTGTGTGATTCTGTGCACATGTTTTGCACAGGAAAGATAGTTCGGGGTGACAAAGCAACGTAGGCCAGGTCATGAAGGTCGTACAGTGTGCCCAGCCACAGGTAGTGCAATGCAATGCGTAGCATTGTGTAGCATGGCAATGTAATCCAACAGATTCCAACATAATCCAACAAAAGGTCAATGTAATGCCTTCCTATCCAATGGAATTAATAGAATGCAATGTAGCATCTTGAGATGCGAAGTAGCAAAACGGTTGTGTTCAGTGCAATGCTGCATAAAGCCATGTAGTACAACGAGATGCAGTGGAATGCGAATGAATGCGACATGCAAATGCAAACAACCGCAAAGCAAAGTTACGCAGTACACTGAAACGAAATGTAAACGAAATGTATCAAATGGATCCGAGCCAATGCATTGCAAAGAGATGCAAAGAGCAGACAGTAATGCTGTGCAATCTGATGCAGAAAGCGGATGAAATGAGGTGCAAGATGGTGCAAGATGGTGCAAGATGGAACCCGATAGAACTGGATGGGACAAGTTTGAAACATTCGCCCGCTCTGAGCTTATCCGACAGCTGACACAGCTGTGCAGGTCAAGGCACGGGAGAACTTGGGCCATGAGTCCACAACCTTTGAAAAAAACATGGGGCTCGGCCAGGTCAATGGAATCGAGATGGCAGCTGGCTGAGTTTCAATGTGTTTCAATGTCTCAAGATGTTGTCAAAATGTCTCACCCTTTCAATGCTGACTTTCAATGCTGACCATTGCAAAAGATTGCCTCACTGTTCCTTTGGTTTTTTTGACTTCAACAGCTTTGCTGTGCATTGAAGGATAGTTTGAGATTCCAACACTGACTGCTCAAGGCAAGGTTGGCTGCTTTGATGTTGGGCAGGACCTCAACAATCATCCAATTTGATGATGGAATCATTGAACCATATTGAACCATTGAACATATTTGAAAATTGTCATCTTCTGCTCCCTTGATTCCCTTGTCTGGCGACAAGGCCGTGCCTTGTGTTGAACAGCCTGTCCATTCAGGACCAAATTGTGGGCCTCAGTTTGCATCAGTTTGGTAGGGGCTAGCGGTGGCTAGTGTGTTGCTAGGCCAATTCGAACTTCCAGTTGGCCAAAGGTTCAATCCCGCCGCAAATTCCAAGACCAAAGCAATCAACAGTTTTAGACAGTTTTAGTATGTCATCATATGTCATCGATGACGCATATCTAAGTAATGAGCCTTTTGATTAAAGAGCCGAAGTAGTTGGCACATCCGTTGCCTCAGCAAAGCTTCTCATTCCACGACTTTGGAACACGTTGCGTTTCGTGATGTTTAGTTTCTTGTCAAAGCCTTTTTGAGATGTGATTTCTTCCAAACATGATGCGTTAGTTATGTACACCATCAGCAGCTCAGGGTTGAGCTTGTTGAAACACAAAGACTGCCAATGCTCTGCTGATGCTCTGTTGATTTTCTGCTCTCTGTCACTTTCAACCCTGATGTTTCTGAGTGCAGCAGCACTACCTCAGGAGTCATGTCGCTGAAGTCTCGGCCTACCGAGTCAGTGGAAAATGCTTCCCTGCCCTTGCATTGCTAGTAGTGACACGGCCACCAGTGGACTGGGAGCCGTACAAAGGTTGATATATTCTGCCAACAGCTGCAACAGCGTAAGAACCTTAGCTGTCGCCTTTGCTAACATTCTGGACTTAGGACTACACGCCACCACAGGTGATGAATCTCCGAAAATTGCTGATATTTACACAGCATTATGCAACTTAGTCAGCCAACCTCTGTTAGTTGGGGCACTACCGAACCAACGAACGCGTCTCAGAACGGTTTGGGCAAGCCTGACATCCAATTTTTGTATATTTTTGTGCTGTCAGGGTGAAGCCTGTTTTAGGCCATTTTAGGCCTGTATGCACTGATGGCAGTCGACTGGACAATGACATATTTAAAAAAAAACAATATTCAACAGCTCTCCTTGATAACCTTCAAAGACCACAACCATCACAGTTGAACGGCTACACATCTTTCCCTGTGGCCAGCGAGACTCGAACCAGTGATCTGAGTTTCCAACAGCAGGGACCACCAAATAGTGGCTACCTTCCACGTGAAGATATCGCTCCACAGGCCTGGCATCAAAATATGCAACGCTCCAACAGTATCCAACAGTGAAAAGTTGATAAAGTTGAAATATGTTGAAATCATGTCACTCTTCACATCTTCACTGCTGCATGAAACGCTAAAATGTTGTTCTTTGTGCTCTTTGTGGTGTACCCCCAGCACCCTCAAATAAGCGGTGGTGGTGATGGTGGTGGTGTGCAGACAAACTCCAACAAATGGCTGTACAATCAGCCAGGTGTTCGCTGCACCATCATCACCTCAAGCAAGCTGCTTCTGCCAATCGGATTATGAGTCAAGCCTTCAAAACAAGAATGTCTGGGAACCTGACGCCCTTCTTCATTCTGTTGCACCCTCGCAGTCAACAGGTAAACTGCGAAGTTTCCAAACGATTTGAGGGACAGAATCGCAATCACAAACTGGCACGGATCACTCCACTTCGTGGCCCAACAACTTGTCCAAAATATTCTTGTATTGCACTGGCACCTCGTTCACTCGTTTGCAAACAAACAGAAAGGGGTCACGAATAGTCAGGAAGCTCTTGTGAATCTTGTGAGTTATTTCCTAGGGATTTCACTGCAGTCACTTCAAGTTCTGAGGCACAATGTTCACAGAAAGAACACATCCGCACGAAGATGCACAGTGCAAAACACAGCTTTCGGTGGGCTGGGGCACATCGGTGCGTTCCCATCGCTCTTGCTCCAACATTTGCTTCCTGGCGTCTGTGTTCGGATGCAATGGTTTGAAGATGTTTGAAGGGGATTGCACACGACCTGTCTGCGAGACTGCGCTCACCAGATGTTGTCTCATACATCACGGCATCACCTCGCCTTTCACAGACTTCTCCGGGAAATGATTCAGACTTACTGTATTACATATTATGTCAGTATGTTTACATTATATATATATCAATATATACGTGTATATATGTATATACACACACTACACTACAATGCAATGCAGTACCATACCATACACTACACTGCACTACATTACATACATACATGTATTTATATTTACACACGTATGCCACTTAACTACCAAGCCAACAGTCCAAAGAACTATCCACGACAGACTAAAAAATGAAGACAAGCGAAGGCAAGACAAAAACACTGTTCATATCAAGGATCAAACTTCTGCAGCTCAGCCCCAACACAAATTCTTCCGTTTCTACCATTTCTACGGGTTGTACACATACGACGTTCAGACACATTGAAGCTGATCACAGCATATCTTAGAATCCATTGATTGATAGCTCGCGCGTTTCCAATTTGGCCCGGAGTGCGTCTGGAGCAAGCATTTCTGATGAAACTCCTCACTGGGCAGAGTGTGGTTATGTGGACGGCCTGTTTGCAATGTCTCTTTGTCCATTGCTTGAGAAACACGGCAAACTGCTCTAGCAGTAGCAGCAGAAACAGCAGAACAACTAGAATCCAGGACAAAATCAAAACAATATCAAATGACACATCTAATAACTTAGCTTTACAATCCTTAATACGCTATGATTATATTTTATTCCGTGTTCACATAATGTTCACATTATGCTCATATATTTTCAAGATGATTTACTGTACAGTCTGTACAGTACTGCCCAATACTGAGACTACGAAACGCGTTTGGCCCCGAGCCTCGATGATGGATTTTGTTTGGCTATAGGAGATTGCCAACAAACCAGCTTGGGTCTCAATGCCAACCTCAGCAATTGCAATACAATGCAAAAAGGTATGCAAAATGCCAACAGAAATGCAATAGAAATGCATTCAATTATGCAAAACAATGTAATATATTAATACACTGTAATATGTTCAAAAACATTGAATGCCATTCAATAGCTTGACACGTTTGGTTTTGCAATGATTTGCATATGATTTGCATATTATGCATCGCAGCAGCATGCTCCGCCAAATCCATTTTGCTCTGGCAATCTTTTTGAACATCGTGGACCTAGCAGCAACATGCCACATATATCCCACATCACCGGGTGTCAACATCTGCATGAAAACATGGGAAAGTTTTCACTAAAAGCACGCATATCCGATATATATATATATACATATACATTATATATACATATAACTTATATGTGCTGCATCGGTGCCACGATTCTGTGTCTTCCGTAGTCGTTCTGTATTTGTTCTGTGTGGAGCACGTGGTTGTGAGCAAAGCCTGGGCAATGCGAGGACCCCGCAGGGGCGAAGCGCCTGCTTGAGCATCTCGTTGGTTGAATGCAGAAAGCTATGCCATTCAGGGATCTTTAGACCTGAGTTGTGACATGAGTTGTGACATGAGTTGTGACAGGCCAAGTCAGCGGGGTCTTGGTTGCAAGCGTTTGTGCTCTTCATGCCGAGCCTGGAAAAAGACCAAAGCATGAAGCGCAGAAAGCAAATTCTAGGACACTCTAGGAGTGGATATCTAATCAATTCAAATCATATCTATGCGTATCTTGTAGAGCGGAAAACTTTGAATGCTGGGTTGAAGCCGAGCCATGTCAAGATGTGCCAAGCCTTCACTGAGACTTCACTGTTTTGCACGAGTCTTGGCTCAATTTCTACTTCCAGCTGCACACGTCGCACCTGGAGCAATGCGCCCACAATCTTAAATGCTTGCGCAAGCGTGACCTGCAATGGTCGCATATCGTTTGCCGGAAGAGCTGCACAGCCATTGTCGAACACGAGTTAACACGAGATAACACGGGATAAAGCTTCTTTGAACAAACTTTGCCTGTTCAATATCTTGGCAACACCAACGAGAACCCACTGACTTCAGATGACTTCAGTGTTCAATCAGCAGGGCACATCCACTGACTGACCAAGGATCTCAGTGGAAATCTGCCTTTCGAAGTGGTTCGTTTGCATATTATAATTATTATACAATTATACATATGTTTTAATTTTCTATATAAGCGAGCCATTGCCGAGAATACCATAAGTTCAAACAAGCTGAGCTGAGATTACATGAGATTACGGTAGTTGTAAATTAATGTACATCAATGTAAATTAATGTAAATGCAGAAATTGCAGAAATGAACTTCAATTCTGACCTGACCTCCAAGAGACGTTGGAGCTCTGCAGCAACCTCCTGTGACTCTTCACCAGCTCGCACCTTCAAATCTTGAAGTCCACGAAAGCTGAGGGACTGTAACAGACTGTATCTAACAAAGTTTCCAAACCTCAATCCATCTCAATTCTCAATATGTAATCTTTATAATTTATATATATATATATTTATATCAATTATAATCATAGAATTACAGTAATTACATATCAGTGCATCATAATCTACATGGAAAGCAGCTGCACAAATCTGCACGGTGCGTCTTCAACATGTTTCCATGGTTCCATGTCTTCCAGCTTTTTCATTCGTGCTGGCAACCAAAAACACAAAGGCTGACGGCCGCACCGCATGCTGTGCGTCGGTCACTACTTGGTGAACCTTGAAATGGAAGGAGGATCAAGGAAAAAGCATCGATCAGGTGTCAGATCCTGACCGCTGGACGGCTGTCTACTCTTGAAAAAACTTGAAGCCGCTTCCATTTGTAATGTAGTCACTACGTAGTCAGTCAGGCAAATGCTTCAAATGCTGCAAATGCTTGTTTTGACAAGTTTTGCCACCAGATGCCACCAGTAACTTAGTTTGGGGACTATCGAGCGCCAGCCTGCAATGCGTAGTCCGTGAAGCGGGTTGCCATTTGGGCCACAAACTCCCTAGCAGGTTGGCATGGAAATCACTAAAAATCACTAAAATACTTATTTGAACTTGAACACCAAATGCCTGACCCAAGAAATTCCCCCGAACCACACATAAAGAATACCAAGCATTGACATGCATTGACCAAGCATTGACCAAGCATTGACCAAGCATTGACCAAGCATTTCTAATCCGAGGAACAGCAGCTTCTTCCAGAACTCAAAAAAACTTTCAAAGCTTAGAGCCTCAGTTGGTCAGGAATGGCTCGCGATGGGCTCGAGGTTCGTGCTACGTGTTCGCAGGGGTGAGACAAGACCCCACCTTACACAATTTGAACATGTTTGAACTTTGATGTAATTCGTGCCATTTCGTGCCAATTGCATCCCACAATTTGAAAAATCAGAGAGACACAATTTTAGGTTCTGGTTATGTTGAGGATTGTCCCGAGGATGATCCGGACATCCTGTAATTTGAGCGATTCTAAAAAGGCAAACTAGAAGTATTATATGGAAAAGCAGGAATACGAAAAAAAACATCCCTTTCCAAGGCCTGTAGACTTGCCAATTCATGGTGTCTATATACACAACTATACACACACACACACACTCAACAACTGGGTTGAATGATGTCGAATGGACCTTATTTCTTTTAGATTCTTTAAGTACAAACCACCTGGTTTTGGGCTTCATATATACTATTGCACCTATTTACTTCCATTTGCTCTGGCATCAGGCCAGCAGAGACAACAACACTAATGGACTAAACGCACAAACACATTGATAGCAAAAAAATGTCAAAAGAGAACATGTGACAGTAGCTGCCAAAAAATGCCAAGATATGAGTTTTTATGGTGAAATGAACGCCGTTGTACATCGCTATACTCACTCCAGTCCCCAATTAGTCCTTCTGATCTTCCGGCAAAATTTGCCCTGCAACGATTTGCGATTTCGGCCAATGACCAGGACGACAAGTCCGACAAGAGTTATATAACATATGACAACTCCGAGTTTCAAACACAAAGAGCTGATGAGATTCCAAATGCAGCACCGCTTTGGCCTGGAACAGCGCCAAACAAAGCACACTTTCATGATAGAAAGGACAGAACATAGGAGAAACCATCTGGGAATAGACAAACCGTGGAAACTGTGGAAATATCTACAAGGATCGGAGACCAGAACAAATTTCATGTCGATCATTTCCAGAAGCATGCAATTCGCAAAAATCCAATTGCCTCTGCATTCTGATATTTGATGGTTTCTTGTGTTGTGATTGTCCTTTCGGGTGTTTGTGTACGTGCCTGGGTCTCTGTGTTCAAGTCTGTTCAAGTCTGTTCAAGTCTGTTCAAGTCTGTTCAAGTCTGTTCAAGTCTGTTCAAGTCTGTTCAAGTCTGTCTTGTGTGTCTCTGCCTGTGCTAGCTGCTATTAGCTCCTGTCTGCCGCCTGGCGGCTGTCTTTCTAAGCTATCTATGTGTTCCCTGAGGTCTCGGTGTTATTGGTTTCCGGGATCCGTGTTTCCATCGCCCTCCCTGGACTCTCCAAAGTTCAAGCCCCCAACATGTGCGATAATTCAGTGCGTCAGTTATTAGTTTGGTACCGGGAGTACCGCACAAGTTTCAAAAATAGGAAACCTATGGCACCTATGGACCTATAGGCAGAGCGAATCCACCGATGGACCGACAGGTGGTTGAGGTCTCTGCTCTTTCTCTCTTTCTGTTTCTTTCTCTGACAGTCTACCTACCTACCCACCTATCTATCTATCGATCTACCTACCTATCTATCTATCTATCTCTCTATCTCTCTATCTCTCTATCTATCCATCTCTCTCTCTCTCTCTTTTTGTCTCTCTCTCTCTCTCTCTCTCTGTGTCTATCTGCAAGCTTGAAAACGAAGCTATTCTGCGAGACTTCCTCAATTTTTGAACTTGCCAACATCAAAAACGCAGCAATTCAGCGAGACGTCCTCAATTTTTGAGCTTGATAACGTCAAAAACGAAGCAATTCTGCGAGACTTCCTCATTTTTCGAAGTTGACAACATCAAAAACGAAACAATTCTGGGAGACGTCCTGCAAAAATGGAAAGTTGAGTGCAGAGCTGACGGCCTCGTACCAATGCGTTTTGCGATTTTTCCAGTCCACCTGTCTGAAGTACTGCGCCTGCCACGAAAAAGTGATGCCAGGTCATACGAAGTGCTGATCATCTCAGCAAACCTGAAGATCTGATGCTCCAAAATGCAACTCCTCGGGAAATCAGCGCCCGGACCTCCTAACAGCTCTGATGAACATGTCTCTTGTACTGCGCCTGCCACGGAAAATGCATCTTTGCAGATCCTCTTCAAATGTCCCACGCCTGCCATCATTTTTGGAATCCTACAAAGCCCTGACGTTTTGCTCACTTTTGACAAGGTCCACAATCCCTTGCGCCTGCCACGCGAAACGACATCTGAACGTCCAAAAGTGGTCCGAACCCCTAGTGGTTTTTACATGTTGACTTCGAAATGTGCTTCGCGCCACAACGGCGTGCACTTTTTCGACATCTCAATTTCCAAAAGCGGTTCGAGAATGGTGTGCTTTTAACATTTTGACTTCGAAATGTGCTTCGCGCCACAAGGGCGTGCACTTGTTCGACATCTCAATTTCCAAAAAGTGGTCCGAACCCCTGGTGCTTTTAACATTTTGACTTCGAAATGTGCTTCGCGCCACAACGGCGTGCACTTTTTCGACATCTCAACTTCCAAAACTGGTCCGATGGTGAAGTGTTTTTAACTTTTTCACTTGCAAATGTGCTTCGCGCCACAACGGCGTGCATTTTTTTGACATCTCAACTGCCAAAAGTGGTCCGGACCTGGTGTGCTTTGTACATTTTGACTTCGAAATGTGCTTCGCGCCACAACGGCGTGCAATTTGTCATCTCTTATCTGGCCAGCTGGCTCCGCATCCGCCGCTTTAGCGAGCCTACTTTTCGACCCTCCGGAGCCACAATTCATTGGAAAAACACAGTGAATCGCGACTTTCCTACCTTTTCGCGCATCTCCATCTTCTTTCTTCTTACTCTTTCTCTTCTCTGATCTTCTCTCTTCTTTTCTTCTCTTCTCTATTCTTCTGCTCCGCCTCTGCTTTTCATCTGTCCATATTGTCGGAAGTTTGACTTCTAAACTTCCTTCGGCTACTGTAAAACGCGTGTCACAGTCTGGCAGTCGTAGCAGTTTTGTCGCCTCCCTGACTCATGGCTTGCATACTTGAACTGTTGGATCAGCATCAGCATCGCGTGACAGAGCAGAGCACGGTCACAAACAACGGACGGGCAAATGACATGTTCATGTCATCTTTGAAACGTATGAGTTCCAATTGCCTCAAAACCTGGCGAGAACTCACACGTGTCCGAAGTTTTTGACTTCGTGTTCCTTCGTGTTTCCTTTCCGCCAGGTTATGTGTGAACATGTACTCAATTGATCTCAATTGCTCAGGTTCTAGAGGAAGGGCCTGTACAGTTTTTCTCTCCTGTCTCCAACAAAAAAAGGAACTTGCACTTGCCGACTTCATGTTTTTAATTTTTGGACATTTGTGGTTTCATTTGCTATGCAGGTATCAGTCTCTCCCATGTTTCGCTATGTTTCTCTAAGGCTTCAACCATCTGCAATTCTGGCACTCGGTGCCTGGATAGTTCATCACCGTGAACATGTCATCAGTTTCGTATATTTTGTACTTTATGTTGGGCCTTCAGTAAAAGCAGAAGATAGCAGAAACCATTCTATCATATTCTATCATTGACAAGTTAGACAAAGAGGCTGAAGCTGTGGCATCTTGATTTCTGCGGGAGAAGGCAAAGGAAAACAATAATTGAATCAAACACTACCTCAATTCTGTCAGTACCTCCATGACCATGCAAGATACAAACCATATCCCAAGATATCCCAGACAACAAAAGGTAATGTATGGATATGTATTGTATGGTATTTTAATATGATGTAATATTCAAGAATCCAAATACAATGAATCTGCCCGCATTGCCGATACTTTGCTGGAAGAGCTGTAGCATGGCCTCTGCCTCCGCGATCTGACCTGCTTCAGAACCATCTTGGGAGAAAGCCTCCTATCGCAGGTCGCACGGGGAAGCAGAGTGAGCTTTGCAAGTCATGTATTTCATTGTATTTATCATTATTTATATGTATTATAATATATATATATATTCATGATCACTCATATGAAGTTCATACGCATTATGCATACCATCATACCTCTTGGATCGTCTAGGCAAGGTTTCCATCTTCCCAGTAGCTATAGCAAGGCTCTCAAAGTACAGCGGTTTTGTCTTTACAAGAGCCTAATTTTGTTTGGGACAATACTGCTTACCCGAGCAATCTGTGAAGCAAGTCCATTGTGTCCGTGCGGTTTGGCAATGTTTTATTCCTTAGTGCGCCTTAATGTCTGGAATGGCAAGTCCCCCAAAACTTGACAAACTCTCTCCCTCTCTCCCTCTCCCTCTCCCTCTCCCTCTGTCTCTCTCTCTCTCTCTCTCTTGCTCTATGACTATGAGATTCTATAAGTTCATATTTGATCATATTTGCATTTATGTCAGTTTATGTAGCCACTGAATGTTCAAAGTTCAATCAGGAAATCGGAGAGATAGGATTCCTGAAATGACGTATGGCCTTCAAGGGGCTTATATCCGGTGTGCTACTTCGGGCTGTGATTCTTGGATTTGGGCAGCTCATTGGAACAGTCCCAACAAGGCATGTGCCTGTTGTCACCGAAATTGGGAAAGCTCATGGCAGTGGAATGGCTATGAGTATGCAAGCCCCAGAAAGCCAGGAGGGGGGGGCAGTCCAAGGCACTTTCCAAGGCTCCTAGGTCCAAACCTGTTTCCAGAGGCAGCGAAGGACCAGAACCAAGGGAAGAGGATGAGCCTATGGAACCTTCACTCCCACCATGGCAGGGAACAGCCAACAACTCCTGGGCGCAGAGTGCTCACTTGAAAAGGCACTCCAGGCAGAAGAGGCCAAAAACCAAACCACAAGCCCCACCAAGGCAGAAGCAACTGAACGGTTTCAGAAGGCCACGTCCCAGCTCAAAAAAGTTGGGCAAGCCAAGGCGCAGGCAGAAAACGACTTGAAAAAAGCAAAAGAACAAGTGGCATTGCGAGAGGCTCAGCTGCAGGCAGCTGTTGAAGGGCTGCAGGAGGCAAGAGCAGAAGTGGAAGCAAGCTCCAAGGTGTATTGGAAATATGCCTTGGGGATGCCAGCAGATGGCGAAGATGCGGCAGAAGGCCAAGGCCAGGGTGGTGATGACAACCTGGCCCATCTCATCTTGGCCAATATGGGAGAGAAACTGCTGCCTGACCAGCAGCAAAGGCTCTTGGAAATGGCTGGCCGGCGCCGAGACCAAAAACGAAGAAAAGTTGAGGAAACGCCGGGAGGCGAAGGTCTCACAACCAAGGCGGAGCCTGACCAAACGGCAGGGTAGCATCAGCATTTGCAGTGCCAATGTGACCAACTATAATGCTGCTGTTAGCAGTTGGCTGGCACAGACCTTGCAGCTTGGCACTGTGGCTTTTGCTATCCAGGAAACACACCACGCAGAAACAGAGATGAGGAAAACTCAGAAAAGGCTATTGGCTTGGGGCTTCGAAGGAAACTTCTTAGCCGCCGAGCCTACAGGCAGAGGTGGAAATGCCGGTGGGCAATTTGTTGTGGCTACCCGCCATGTGGGGGTTTCCACCTTGGCCGCCTACAACCTCAGTGGCAACGGCTGGTGTGGCATTTTGCTTGAATCAGCTGGCTCCAGGCTTGCATTATTCTCCAATTATCTCAAAACTGGGGAAGGTGTCATGGGCCCTAACAACTGTAAGATCTTGGGTGCGCTCAAAGGTTGCCTCCAGCAACTTGCGGATGAGATGCCTTGGCTGGTTGTTGGGGACTAGAATGTTGAACCCGGTACACTTGGCGAGTCTGCGCTCGTGAGGTCCGTTTCTGGCACCCTTGTTGATGCAGGAGAGGCCACGATCTCAACGACTGGTAGCAACCTGGACTTTATGATTGCTCACAAGTCCCTGGCTGGAGAGTGCTCCCTGCAGGTATTGTGGGAAGTGCCATGGAGACCGCATGGCGCAGTGAAAATCACAATTGCTTGGAACTTCATGAAGATTCGTGTGCCTCAACTTCGACTCTATAAGGATGTGCCATTACTGGAAGGACCTCGTTTGCCATGGAGCAGTTTTGAGAGAGGGAATGTTCAGTTGCGTAATGAGCTGGCTTGTCCAAGGCACCAGTTTCTGGATACTGATCTTTCCCAACTCTTTGGTGATTGGATGGCACAAGCTGGGGGTTGGTTGACTTCTGTTGAGACAGATCTTGACACTAAAAGTCTTGGACGAGGCGTGCATGTGGCCATTGAAATGCAACCACTTGCAATGCCGGACATTCCGCTAGAGCGGTTGTGGAAGAATCCTAGCTTAGATTATTGGCAAGCCTTGGCTGCTTGGGTTGAAACCTTTCAGCGACATACGGGCTTTGATAAGCCTGCCACTAGGGACTTGAAGGTTAGGATGCGTGAGTTGATTGGGAAGGCTGCTGCCCGAATTGAAAATTTGCGGGTGGAGCTTGAAGGACTCCACTTTGATGAGGCTCGGAAGCTGAAATCTTTGCTGTATAAGGTTGGATTTTTGAAGGCCAATGACCTTGCTAATGTTGTCCATGACCTTGGTTTGTTGAAGCATTATTTCTTGAAAACTTTACTCAAACTCAAGGCTGAGGAGTGGGCCACTACTGTTCAAGAGATGATTAAGGGAAGTGGAAAATCAGCCTTTGCTTTCATCAGGGCGGAAGCGGTTGAATTGCGGCCCTTTCAGAATTTGCTGTCACGGAGCGACCTCAGGCTCTGCGTAACTATTGGCAAGCCAAATGGGGTGAGGCATGGTGAGGCTGACGCCACAACTGCTTGGCCTTGTTTTGATTTCTTGGAAAGCTTGGCTCGGAAGCAAGTTGCAACCTTGAAACCCGTCTCCACTGTGCAGATCGCTGAAACTTTGAAAGGCAGCCCTAACAAAAAAGGCGGGCCTGATGAATGTACTTTTTAGATTTGTGAAGATGCTTCCTCGTGAGGCTTTGAGCGGTTTCGTTTTCATCTTGCATCAGGTTGAAGCCAGGCTTAGATGGCCGGAGCAATTCTTGCTTGTGCATGTTGCTTGTTTGCCTGAAAATCTTGAATGTGAGCGGCCCATTTGTTTGACGCATGTGTTGTATCGGCTTTGGTGCAGGATGCATAAGAATTTGGTTGATGCTTGGTTGCTTGGTGACAAAGAAATGGCCTTTTGGGACCAGGTTGTGAAAGGGTCCACCTGTTTGCAGGCCCTGCTTCGGCTTTGTAAAGCCGAGGTTTCTAAAAAATTTGCTCTTAAGATCCTTAAGCAAATCAATGGTTGAACTCACCAGTTTCTATGATTGTGGACCACAATTTGCTTGCGGAAGATGCCTTGACACTTGGATTTCCACCGCTTGTTTTGTTTATGCGCTTGCAAGTGCATCAGGGTCCATAAGGGTCCATGTGTCCTGCGAAAGGGATTCTGGCTGGGTGCCCTTTTGGGGTTGTGTTTGCGAAGATTGTGTTGTGGGCCTTAATGTCCCATGTGAACCGAGTTTGTTGTCCGCAAGGCATGTCCACTTGGGTTGACCTGCATGGGTTCACTTCTGCTGAGGTGGCCAAAAGCGCTGTTGTCACCTTTCTGGAATTGAAAGAAGGGCTTGTGTCGCGGGGGCTGGAAATCAGTATCCGGAAGTCCGGCTTCCTGGTCAGTGACGCTGAAACTGGTCGAGCCCTGCGGAAAGTTTTGGCTGAATTCAAAGGTTGCCCTGAGTTGAAAGACACTATCAAGTATCTTGGTATTGATAATTCTCTGGCTAGGAAACCGAGGTTGTCAGTGCACCACGGTAGGTTGAAGAAAGGACGCGGTATATAGGTGCGTCGGTTGCCTGTCGTTTGTCGCCGCAAATTTGTCAACATGTCTGTTAACTCTGTGGCCTCGTGGGGGCATATAGCGCTTGGTGTCCCCCCTCAGAAGTTTCATGCCTGGAGATTGAATGTTGCCAGAACAAGCAAATGGGTCAAAGGAAGGGGCTCCATTGAGGGTACTAAACCTGATTTTTTCCGTCAGGCTAAAACGAAATGTTTTGGTGGGCACATTTGGGTGCCCTGTACTGTAATCAAGGCTTGCGTTGCACTGCTTGCCTGAGTGTGTTGAAGCAATACCGTTTGTTGTCGGACTTGGAAGTCCTGGCTTCTCTGCCTTGCCCTGGGGTAAGAACAGGAAGAACTGGGTGTGGGCACCTTCTTTTACATAAGGTTCATTTCACTCACACCATGGATGGTATTGAATCAACCCTTACTTGTCGCAGTTGTGGTGCCAAGCTCACTGGGCATTGTAAAGGTCTAAGCAGGAAATTGCTGTTGCCCTGTGGGACTTCTGCGCTGAGGTTGCAGAGGCGGCGTTTGTGATTTGGCTTGCAGTTCTTTTGTCAAAAAAATGTCAGTTTATGTCCTCTGAAATCTTTTGGGGATGAAAATGGCCTGTCGGAAGTTTCTGTCCTTTGGACTCGCTCCACTTTGGTCAGGATCTGCTGCAGTCACCGTCTCCACTTTTGTGTCAGCTTTATCCTGCTCTGAGCTGACGCCAAACTGGCATCCTACAGAAATCTACAGAAGATGATTCAGAGATGATTGCTATTGATTGCTGTTTCATCTGTTTCTGACTATTATACTGAGTAGTATTGACAGTATTGAGTAGTCACTACTTGAGTCTCAGATTCAAAACTTGCATGCAGTTACACCTTTAGATGGCCTGAAACTGCTCCCAAAACCATCCAGCACAAGACAGTCTTAAGACACATTGTGACATGTCTTCTGGTCCCGTGACAGCAAATCATAGGTTTCTGCAAATTCAAGAAGTATATAGACCATAAGGATCCATAAGGATCATAAAGGAATTATAAGGTGTCCCTTGTGTCTCCCAAAGTGCGTTGGGACCTGGGCAGTCTCCGGCTGCCCCCGTTCTAAACTCGCCAACTCCCAGGCCTGGTCTCCCTCTCCATGGTCTCCGTTGGATTCCTTTGGCTCACCAAATTCCTGACTCCAAAAGCGTCACAAAACGGTGGCAGTACAGTCTGGCTTGGCATTCTCATCCCTGCTTTTGGCATTTGGCAGTATCCCCATGCTGGAAGACATAACGCACAAAATACTTTTATAATGTTTTATGTATACGCTTAAGGACCAGATAGGATATGCTGCTCACATGCTCGACTGCCTGGAGAAGTGCTTTCGCGTGCTGCCTAATTGCCTGCCAGTGCAAACTGGACAGCAACTTCTCAAGTCCAGCCAGCAACCAGTCCAAGACGCATGAATTTGCAAGAGTTTCATATGCGAAAGTGCTTTCAGAACAAGCTTTGGAAGCACGTCACCGTCCATTTCAGACAAGGACTATATATATATAGGCAACATCAAAGCCTAAGGGAGGTAGGTATTTTGGCAGTATTCCATAGCAAGATGATTACCACAAATCTGTGAGAACGTCAGTGGTGAGTGGTGTTCAGCACAGAACAACTGATGGAAAAATGGCTTCACCAAAAGACAAACATTTAAGACATTGGCCAGGCATCCCAAACTGCCCTCCAAAGTATGTCTACGTATAGCTCTACAGGCAAGACGCGCGTAACTCCAAAGAAAATCTGAATTCCTAACCACGAACCCGCTGACATCTAATCTCGAACTTCTTTCTGTCAAACTACGAAGTCCAGCATATCATTTCTAACCACGGAACATGGAACATGGACTCACTTAGGGGGCTCTGTGCCAGGCCAAATACAATGAGAAGAGGGACTAATCACTTTGAGACTGCCCTTCTGGAAATCTGGGTAATCGCTTTCCCAATGTGAAAGCAACCTTGAGATTCGAGGTTAGGGAGGACGGTGGACTGTGCTCTACAGTACCTCTACCAGGCCTTAGAGTTGAAGATGGAACTGGCACAGTGAAGCACGACAGCGAAAGACTGCAGAGACAATATTTTCCCTGAGCCAGGATGGACTCTCCATATGGGCAATAGATAGCAATAGATCCTATCGGCGCAAAGATAACTGTGCTCTTGGAATGGTATCAACTACGCACCCTTGCTGGGTAAAATTGAAAATTGCTCCAGGTAGTGTCATGTACTCAAGTGGTCCGCTTGTTGGACCAGGAAAGGTTTGAGCGATGTTGAATCTGGTTTAACAATGTTGAACATGGTTTATTCATTGCTGAGCCCTTGCGGCCTTCTTCATGTGCGAAAGCAGTACATCTCGCAAAGTTGGGTTCAAGGCCTTGAAGGCCCAGCAACCAAAGCAAGTCTGCAATCCCGGACAGGTTTCAACAAAATTTCAACAGGTGAGTACAGACCTTTTGTGCAGCAAAAAAAAATACGTACTATAGTGTGCTATAGTATGCAATGGGAATGGATGATGATGGGCTATGTGTTGACACCAAACTGTAAGGTCGACACAGCTCTGAGACGACCCCTTGTGACCAAGCATTGACACAAATGCCTGGCATATCAATGTGAGTGGGAGGTAAAACAGCAACATGCAAGACATGCAATGAATTCAGAGAGTTCGTGAGTATTGTGTCGTTTCGTCTTTGCGAAAGCAGTGCAGTATTGCATTCATAGGACTTGCATGGACTTGCTAGCTTTCATAAATTTCATAAACCAATGCAGCATTCTCGACCCCTGAAATTCGAAGAGGCTCCTCGAATCCAATGGAAATCTAAGGGACTGGTGTTGATTTGCCAGAAAATTGGGTCTACCATGGAATTGTCGGTTTTGGGAATGTCTGAATGGGAAAAATGATGATAATCATAATCCGCTGCAATTGGGGTAAGAATCTTCAAAAGTTGACCAAGGGATGCTCCCAGCGATTATGGTTGTCAGGCACAACCTCAAAATTGTGATCGCCCACGAGCTTTTTACAGACTCGAGTTCCATGAAAGCTTACATTACAGTGATTTACAGTGCATATCATTATTTAATATTCTAGTGAAGACGAAGCTGCACATGGGCCTCAGGCGGAGGTTCACCTGCAGTGGGCTCAAGGGCTCAAGATGGTCAAAGAAACTCAAAGGGACAACACTTTATTTTTTTCTTAATAAGTGAGTCGAAGATTTGCTCTCTGCATCTGGCTGCGCATCCTACCTCAGCTACCTCAGTTGCTTCCTGCCCATTCTCTGAAATCGGATCATCATGGCGTAAGAGCGCCTGTCACGCATTCTTGCAGATACTTACAGGCTTTGCACCTTCGCGCCTCTGTCATCATCAATATGCAATCTTCTTGGAACAGGTTTAGAAACCGTAATTCAGTCCTCATACCTAACTCTTTGAGTCTGTACACTTGTTTTACTTGCATGCTGATTTTGCGGAGACTATTGCGCAGAACTGTGTGCAGGCAGATTATTGGGGGGAAGTTTTGTGAGGACCGAACTGTGCTTCAGCATTGGGAAAGTCCCTATGCGCCTATTGGAGAGTCAATGCTGCAGTTCAACTCATCTTTGGCGGTTTTAAAAGTGTGATTAAGCTGTCATGGGCTCGGTATGGACCCAAGGACACTCAAGACTGAAAATGACGTCAAACAAGTGCGAAGCTGCTCCTCTGAAGACTGGTGAACGAATTCAGCTTCAACCTTCAAGACACAGGTTCAAATTGACCGGAATGTAACCATCCCGCGATGTTTCTTTTCTGTTGTTTGGTCCGAAAAGGAATCATGAAAATCACACTGAATACCAACACCAAGTTCCACACGGCGCGGTCAAAAGTCTCTCCCAAATTGACCAGTTGAGTCCAAATGGATTGCACGCTGACCTTGCAAGGCCATAGCAAAGCCTATGTGTTTCATGTTTCTCCAAGCATCAAAAGGGTACTGGGATTGCTGCCACACCCTTCAGATTGGAATCAAGTGCCTCGGGTTTGATCAAAACAAATAAACGAACGTAGTGAACAGCAAAAATACTTGGACAATTCAGGATGTAGTATGATATAGCAAATGTGGACAAATTGGCCTTACAGTCAAGAAAGCAACCATCGTCGTCATTTCATCGAGGGCTTAAGAATCCACCCACGCCAATGTTTTTGTGCGGAGAGCGCAGCAGTTGGTGAGACACGGCCCTTCGTTGTGACCATTGCCGGAGCAACCCCTGAACATCATCTGTTTTTTTCTTTGTCGCTCTGGGTCCTAAGGTCGGAGATGGCGGTCGAACATCCTCATTTTGTGGGGCTTTCATGGGATAGTCTACGGGCAGGACTTTGGGGCACGAAACTGCTGCTTTTGGGGTCAAAAACCCGGGTGCCGCGGCCGCTAAAAGACGACTATGCATTCTGTAGATGCTGTATTGGACCGAACTCAGTACTATCACAAGATTCCCGCGCTTGCTCTGTGTGTTGATTTTGTTTGGAACTTCCCAGATCCATTTCTTGACGAGCCATGCCGTTCTGGCTAGCGCTGAAGCGATGCTAAGCGACCACGCAAACACTTTGGATGCAAACAACACGAAAAACCTGAAAGAAACATGGAACATGCTTCACAACAATATATACAGAAGCTCGCGCAAATCCTGCGAACGGCATGCTGACCAGCTGCAGATGTAGTGCTGTCAATCAAATCCAGGGCAGTGATGAAGTCCCGCCCCTTCGCATCTTATCCGGCAGGGTCAGCTTCACCACCAAACATGTTGAGGGAAGGACAATGGGGGTTTGGACAAACTGTATCAAACTGTTGTATATCATTGTATATCTACAAAAACGGTGCAAACTTGCGTTTCTAGAGCTCAAAGATACAGATCAAGTGCTCCGAGAAAAGATGAAAGAGACCACTTCCAGTGTCACAATACATGGAGCCGATGTCATTTCAACCTTTCTCTATCGTGGCCTGTAGCAGCATTTGAATTGATGGCCGGCATTGCCTCGCAAATCAGGAATGGCAGTGCCAACAGGTAACATTTAAACATCTTCAAACCTCCAGTCGGGAACGGTGCCTGACGTGCTCCAAGCAATCTAGGCGGTGGAGAACTTCTTGCACACGGCGCCTTAATTGCACCACAGCAGGTAGGGCATTCTGAAACCAAGATTTCCCGGCCGGTACAGTACGACTGTTGACGAGTCCACTGAGGCAGCTGCTTTCTCCGTGCCAGCCGGCCCACAGCTAGGCCACACTCAAGTTGTCTCTTCTGTACCTCTTGGATCCAATTCAGGCAAGGAGAAAAGGGATAGAGAAAGCACACCTGCTCTAGGCGGTGCCCCAAGAACAGAGCAACACTACTGTACCGGGAAGGAAACAAATTGGTTAATAATATGTATTTCATTAGTTAGTTTGGAGTTTCTTTACCCTCTGCTCCAGGCTCCAGGACTAGTGTTTCTCAAGCCTGAGTTTTGAAAGGAGGTGGAATCATGTGAGCAGGAACCTCCCAAATAAATCTTTTTGGGGACAGACCTTTCTTATTAGGTGTTGCCTCCATTGTGACCATTTAGTATCTCGTATGGAGACATATTATACTGTGCAATTTTGCACTGCCAAATCTAGCACTTGCACTGCGTACTGTTTTCATCCCCTAAATGGATCTAAATGGTGTGTAGTAAATGATGCAGTATGCGCTCACTACATCAGCACACTGCAATGCGTTGCATTCGATTTCATGACAGGAACACTGGGCATGAAGCATAGTACGGAAGATTTCTGTGTTTTGCGAAATTTGGAAGCAAATACTGTCATACTCAACCAAAAGATGCGGAGTAAACCTAAACTACTTGCATGGGAAATTCAACCAGGAGAAATGCGCGAAGGAGGGTTAGATTGACAGGAAAGGAATAGATCCCAGATCGCCACAAAAGCAGTACAAAAGCAGTACAAAAGCAGTACAAAAGCAGTGCAAAAGCAGTACAAAAGCAGTACAAAAGCTTCAAAATACTACTTTTGTACAGAAGCTGAGCAGAAGCTGTTGCCTGTTTCAAATGCTTTCGCAGCGTGCGGATGACATCAGCTGCCCCAAACCTGGCCGGGTAATCAGTCAGAAACACAGGGATCTAAGAAACAAAAATGGATAGAGAAAAGAACTGGAGAACAAATCTAAGTTGTCCAAGAATTGACTTCCAAACCAAAACCAGAATCATAGAGTATGAGAGCCTTCATTTCAGTTCTCCTCTGTCACTGTGTTACGAGTCAGAAGTCGACTTTCTAACAAATCTGTTCCCTTCCTATCGCTTACTTCATCCATGCTGAAACAAGCCGGCTGCTGCAAGTCTTGCTGTAAGGGCTCCCCAAGTGAAGCCAAGGAATCAAACAAGTGGTCTTGCCTCAAATAAGTCACTCAAGCATCACTTTCGCATATGTGGACTATATCAGACTATATATATATATCAAATGAATTCAAATGATACAAGTTGATGTGACTCGGAGAGGTTTTTGCTCTTAGCCAACCAAACGCATTGATGCAGCACATCATGACACCCCGCTCAGGTGTGCAGCAAGGGCTCTCGTTTGTTGCCGGTGTAACCATACACGCTGGTCACATCTGAACAATAGAAGGTCCGTCATGCTGACACTTTAGTTGGTACCATAATGTACCATACATATATCGTATATCAAATCATATCGATCTAAAAATAATAAAGAACAGGCCCATGCACAGCAAGGTGATCCTGTGTGTGTGTGTCTCTGTCTGCACATCTATACGCGCAGGTACGGTACGTGTAGGCTGGCATCTGCGCACATGCCCATACACATCCAGGCACAAATATTATCAATGTTGACATTCGATGACATTTGTGTGAGCAAGTGTGTGTGAGGGAACATGGCATGTACATGCGTAAGATTTCACAGTTGTAGGGGGACGACGAGTACGCATTGCAACCTGTTATTTTGCAAAGGTACGTACAAAGGTGTCTTTTGGTGTGTGTGTGTGGGCGTGCGTGTCTGAACTGAGGTATGTCTAGGTTTGCACAAAGATGTACTCTGGTGCACTGAGGTATCGTTTGCTGGGCATAAATGCATACAATCACAGTTTTAAAAAGCTCAATCAATTGGTCCAGTGATGAGGAGCATGCTGGGCTTTCCTGATGTGCTCGAAGAGTGAAACCTGAATTTCCAGTTTTCATGCGCGAAACTGTTGTGAATAGGACCACATCGCACCACATTCCGAAAGCTTGGTCAATCTGCAGATCACACGACTCTACAAGACTCAGGTGAAAACTTCAACCAAGTCCAGGTACCTGTGAAACAAAAGAGGTGCAGTTTCAAGACATCTCAGCCGGAGTGCTTTGCACACTCGGAGCTATTTGCCATCGCAACCAAAACATCTAATGAGGATACCCGGAGAGCTCCCCATGCAGGTCTTCTTGTCGGTCCACAACAACTTCTAACGACCTGAGTCATGAGTACTGGGTGATGTAGGAGTCGACAGGATGCAATCAGGTGGCAGGAACAACTTGTGGCTGATTTGGTTGTCACTTGGCTCTTCTTGGCTCTTCTTGACTTCCATCTTGGCATCAAACAGCCGAAACATCTGATGTTGCTCCAGCGAAAAGCTCGACGAGAAGTACTCTGGTGGCACCCCAAAGTGGGCCTGTCGAAAGGATGAGTTCAATTCATCTATAAATATCTATAAAATTCTATAAATAAGTTCCTCAAAGTCTACAATCTGTCCAAGAGAGTCCAGTATGTCCAGTATCAAGCCGCTCTTGAGATTTTACATAGACTGATATATTTGAACCGCCTCTCGAGCACTGGCGTCGTCTTCCTGGTGGTGCTAGCATGCTGTACAGCAGTACAGCCACGCAGCACCAAGCGAAAGAAAAACCGACTTCAATCCGATCCGACAGCTGAGGACAACAAGAGTTAACAAGAGATCCAAAATTGAGCCACAAAAGCGAACCACTTGACAAAAATAGGCTCTTCCGTTGACAAAAAAGAGTTTCCTCCACTTTCCCACCCCGCCTCAATGGTGTCGAGTTCAACACGTGATTTTCCAGAGACATCCTGAGTATACTGCAAGCATCTGCAAATCATCTGCAAGCTCTCAGAAAGATCAGAAAGCCTCCAAGCACCGTATGCCAGTGATGCCAGTGACATCCAAAGACATTCCAAGGCAGTGGCGACACTTCCAGCTGAACGAGATTTAGATTTCGACCTTCGGTGATTCCTGACAGGTGCGGCCAATAGCAAGTCTCTACGACATAACGTAACAGAATATCGCACTGGTATGCACTGGTGTTAATTGATGTTAATTGATATTAATTGATACTCTTGCTATGTTCTTCTTTCATCTTCTTTCACCATGTTTGTTCCTTGCCTCCCACAACTTTGCAATTCGCTTTTCTGCCACAGCGGATTTTAAACCGGGCGCATACTCTGGACGGAACCAGCCTGTGATAGGTCTCCCACACATCTGCGAAGGTATCCAAATAGGACCTGAGCCGAGGCAAGCTGACAATTCTACAGCCGCAGAAGAAAGCGCTGCCACAGAGGAAAAACACTCGGCCTGGAAGGCTTCACTGGAAGGAACACGGCCAGAAAAATGTCAAGAATGTCAAATGAATTCAAATGACATCTTCTCGTTGGCATTTGCGCTCACCAAACCACCATCACTCACTACCACTCACAACCACAGGACCGACCAGATTCATTACACACACTATTCTGCAACCGATCTTCAGAGTCTACGAGTCAATCTCTAACAATTTGCAAAAGAAACATGCTGAGCGGAGCAACAACAAGATAGAATTGGAATTAGAATAAAATGTCACTTTGATTTAGGAGCGACCTTGAGAGGTGCTCTGTGTGGAAATGCCTCCGAATCGAGGATGCCAAATGTTCCCATACTGCAATGATCTGCAATGCACCATTTCCAAGAAATTTGCCGCAATACCGGGCAATGTCATGCCCATATTGTGGGTCCACCCAGGACGGAAGTGGGATCAATCGCGCAAGCCAAAGATCGTAGCGCGTTCTACTCAAAATAAAGTAGGCCTTGATCATTCATATCATGCTCCTTAGTGGATATCCTTAGATTGTTTGAGCGGGATTTACTCGGTAAATATGTTGAATACACTATGATTCACCCTTTACGCCCCCTACGGTTCTACAGTACATGTTTCTAAAGTGACCCAAACTCTGGGTAAGGATTCAAATCTGGTGGCCAGGACATACCTGGCAACAATGTGATTACGCAATATTACGCAATTTTATCCAAGCTCCTGACTGAAAATCTGTCACATCTGGTACTTGTCCGACCAAAGCATCAATGCCTTGAGTCAGGAAAGGACGGCCAAAATGACGCCATCTTCAACAGCAAATGTCAATAAACAATATAAGATAACAGTCCGCCATTTGTCCCATGTCTAGAATATTCCTTGAAAAGGATTTCTGCACATGAGGCTCGCACGAGCAATAGTTGCAGGATCAATGCCCTGCTCAGCACTCAATGTTCACACTTCAACATGAATATGTCACATGGAGGGCAAAGTTTAAGCGCGCACCTCAATTTCACGCTGTTCGTTTAGCTCTTCGACCTTCTACGGTGTTCCACACTGTGACAAATCACATTCCTTTTAAAAGTGTTCAGTCTACAAGGTTTGAGTCTCTGATGTTTCTGGGATATAACATCCATTATAATTATGAATTATACAGTAAATTTATGCATGGACTTGCTTGGAAGATCTTCAAGGCATTTGCTTCGTCAGTGCTGGATGGATGCGTTGAAAAACCACGGGCTGAGGAAACGGTCCAGAATCCTGTACTTGCTCCTTCCATGACCTATATAATCCTATATACAAGAATCCGCCCTCTGGCAATCTAGACAAATACTCAATCAATGAACATCACTATCATTGGAGCGGGAAAGTAAACTAGAAGTGTTCATATTGCCATGTTTACAGTATATACCAAAAGAATTCAAAAGTTGATCATGTAGCCTCACAAAAGTCAGTCTCATTCGGACTAGCACATGGACTGTAGCATGCTGAAGGCATGACTGGCTAGATCTGAGCATATGTGAGCACCGTTTGGCACCGAATGGCTGAGCAAATCGGAGCAGATCGTTGTTTGCAACAGCCGAGTTGTGCCGAGTTGCACTTTCTCGAACAGTGTCCACGAACTCCCCGAGACCATCCCACCTCAAAGCATTGTGACACGGGAAGCTGGAGGAAACCGAGAAGACGAGAAACCTCGTTGAATCAATCTGAAGTCTAATGATGTGCGAGGATTTCCTCTGAGGGTATGGCTGTCCTCGCAACAATCGGCTCCCTCTATAGGGGTCATTGATTACAGATGCCTGGCAACTCCGCTTGGTTACAGAACAGTTCCAGCAGTTCTTATCATAGCTTCCTTGCACAGTCTGTAGACTTCATCTCATTCATTCTTAGCATCTTGAGTTTCTTGAATCGATCTGAATGATATTGGTATATATATATATATGCTCACCCCCCATGATCTACCCCAATGATTCCCAATGAAGGTCTTACCTTATCTTTCCCCATGGCCCACCTTTGACCACTATGCAGACTATGCAAGACCCTTTTGGTGCTCTCTCATAAAATGGTTGATTTCGCTTGGAGATGCAGAAAGAAACGTTGGCAAGATGGGAAGAAACAAGGAAGAAACAAGTGTTCAAAGCACTTGAGTTGCAGAAAATGCTATAAGAAAATGCTGCTTACAGATTACAATCTGCCTTGAAGACAAGATATTCCCTCAAATAAGGAAATACTATTCTTGCAAGAAAGCTATCATGTGTGGAAGGATGCAATACATGCTTTAATGAAGCTCAGCCTTCCTCTCATTTCTCTTGTATGACCATGGTTTTCTGCTTTTTGATGAAGTAGAGGAAACAGAGTAAGAATAATGCGTTGATCAAACATATTCAAAATACAATGACTATACCTTTACTATAGCTTCAATATATCTTTAATATACCATTCTATTGACTGTGAAAATATCGTCAAGAGACCTTTAATATGTCTTTTATGTCTTTTAAATACAATGTAATACACCTTCAATGTTTTTTTAATGCAATCTAATATACCTTTAGTATGCCTTTATATAAATACGATTATCTTCGCAATGTTCTTGCCTCTAATATACCTTTAGGATACCTTAAATATACCTTTGATATAACTTTTAAATGCCATCTAATACATCTATACTATGCCTGTAATATACACTTCATACACTTTAATATACCTTTAGTATATCATTTGATATACCTAGAATCTACCTTTGATATACCATTTACTTGACCTTGAAAATAACTTTAGTATGCCTTGACTATACCTTCAATACGTATACCTTTGATATATCAGTTGATTTACTAATTAATGTACCTTTAGTGCACCATTTAACAAAACATGAGAATACCTTGAAGATATCTATTTTTAATATACCTTTAACATACCTTTAATATCTTTAAGATCTTTTGATATTCCTTTTGAACTATGTACTGTTGATAGACCATGTCATATACCTTGAGTGTATCATTTTATATACCATGAATACCATGGACCATGAAAACATCGATGTTCGCCCCAACCCGGACGTTGCTCCACACTTACAATCATCATAATCATAATCACATTAAAATTTGCTACCCCCTCTGAACAATATGTTGACGGGGGTAATAACATCAACGTTATCTTCATGAGGGGTCAAAATTTGCCACCCCCTATAAACAATGTTGATTGGGGTAATAACATCAACTATATCTCCATGAGGGGTCAAAATTTGCCACCCCCTATGAACAATATGTTGGTTGGGGTAATAACATCAACTTTATCTTCATAAGGGATCAAAATTTGCCACTCCCTTTAAACAATATGTTGATTGGGGTAATAACATCAACTTTATCTTCATAAGGGATCAAAATTCGCCACCCCCTATGAACAATATGTTGATTGGGGCAATAACATCAACTTTATGTTCATAGCCACCTGAAGTCAGACGCGGAGCAACGTCAAATTTCAGCAAACATATTTTTATTATTAATATACCTTCCATATACCTTTGAAAAGCTATCTAATACACCTTGACAGTACCATTTAATATACCTTTAATTCAGTCTCATATAACATGTGTATACCCTGAATATACCTTTATTAATACTTTAATATACTTGTAATATACCTTTAGCATATTGCATACATACAACCATGACCTGTTTCTTCCAAAAATACTACATACACCCAAGGGCTCTACTTCATAGTAATCTTTCTCTGTAGTATTGCATGCTTTCCAATTAAACGGTTCACCCCCCCTCGTGAAGGAAGCTTTGCCCATACTTGCACCAACACTTTCTTTTTTCAATACCATCATGATTTTACATAGATACTCAAAGGATTCCGTTCTCAAATCATGCTGTCCTCCTTGCATAGATTCCCGTACCTCTTTAAAGCTGCAAGTCTCTTTTAAAACAACCTTATATTCCGTTCAAAGAAGTGCTGCAACTCCCTCACATAAGGGGACTGTACAAAATGATGCCACTTTATGCAAGGAATGTAATCTTTGAAAAATATTGCTGCGCAAGGCATATGTTGGAGGATTTTGCTTTGAAAAAAACTTCAAAGTCCATGCTGAAACTTGCTTGCTTCTTCTATTTTCAGGTCGTAGCTGTGTGGAATTTCTTCCCATGGTTTCAAGTAAATTTCTGGGTGATGAACCAATCTGCACATTATATGCCAAAAAGTAATGCTACACTACAACTCTTTTCTAAATATATTGTATACTGTTTTCAATGAATACTGCATAGACTAAGAGAGCTTTCTTATTGAAGTATATAATTCTGTGCTCTTTCAAAGGGACCTCACACGTTTGTTGGCATTTTCTAAGGAATACTGCACCCATGAAAGAGTCTTGCAAGGTATGCTAGTTTAAAGCAATGTTCCAGTTTCTCATACTTTTCGTAATCGAATAATGCAAAGAGTGATGCTGCGCTACTACATGTGCTTAAGAATACAACACACATCAAAAGAGTGCTGCGTCCATTCAAAGACTTTTTTCAAGGCAAAACTTGTTCAAAGTACTACTACTGTATCTTTCCCTTTGAAAGAAATAGTACAATCTCTAAAAAAATGCTCCACCATTTTATGCAATATGTTCGATACTCTTTCAAAAGAGTACTGCGTCCATTTAAGGACTTTCTTTACAGGTAAGACTCTTTCAAGCACTACTACTTCATCTATTGGCACATTCTACTACACAGAAACAGTACATTCTTTTACAACATGCCCCACTGGCCTCAACTATTTTACGCAATGTGTCTGGTACTCTTTGAATCAAATACTGCATCCAAGAAGGACTGTCTTTACAGGTAAGATTCTTTCAAAGTCCTGCAGCAACTATCAAAGCATTCTGTTACAAAGCAATGTTACATGTTCTCAAAGAAATACCCCACCATTCCTCCCAAAGTATCCAAGAAGTGTCAGTTTCCAGGTACTTAAATACTTTGTTTGAATATGTCAAAACTAGACAGGAATCTGTACGTACGAATCCAAGATTCCAAGATTTGCACAGAAGTTGCTAGAGATAGAGCAGGAAAGCGCTGCAACAGCTAATTTTCAAGTGCATAAACATCACAGCACATCCCATGCCAAGCTTAGTCTCACATAATGCGCAAGCTCTTGAGTGAGAAACTTTGATCAAAGTTTGACTTTCCAGGACAGATAAGGTAAGCAAGCATAAGGACACAAATGCAATCATGTGAATCAATAGAAAAACAAAAAAAAAAAGAACCCGAGCAAAACCAAAAAAACACAACTTTTGAGAGAATGTTTGGTTTTGACTCAAAGGATTCGCTTTTCGGGTTTTCCCTAGTTTTTTTGGTTCTGAAATGAAAAAAACCAACTTTAGTTTTTTTTAAAAAATTTTGAATTGAATGGATATAAAAAATCAAAATCTAAAAATACCAAATAAACTCAAGTTGTTTTTGTTTTTGAGACTTTTCAATGCAGAAAACCAAACCGAAAATGTTGAAAAAAAAACTTGAGTTGTTTGTTGTTTTTTGAGATCTTGATTGATCATATCCATTCAAAAAACAAAAAAAAATGTTGTTTTGGGTTTTCCATTTCAGAACCAAAAAACAACAAACAAAACTAGGGACACCCAAAAAAAACATCGTCTGAGTCAAAACCAAACATTCTCCCAAAAGTTTTTTTTTTGTTTTTTTTGGTTTTGCTTGAGTTTTTTGTTTTTCCAGGTTTTGTTGCTTTTCTCGATGCGGCCCAAGTTGTTCGAACTTCAGGTTCCAAGCTCAGGCCCCGCCCAAAGAGTAAAATATGTTTTTTCTTAATACAAGTATGGTTGTAGGCATTATTGGCTGCATGAAAGGGTGAAGCAGATGATAGGGTGAAGACCAGGGGGTGAAGTGGTCAGACAAAAGTTTTGAATCGAACAATAATGCATTAGATATCATAATTACAACCCAAATATATTGAAACATCCATGTGCAGAAACCGGCCCCCCATGAGCGTCCCTTCTGTAAGTTATTGTTTTTTTCCGGTTATGCATGCAAAAATAACATGGTAATTCCCATATAAAGTGCTTCTAGGTAGATCATGGGGGGTGACATTATATGTATATATATAACATTATATATATATACAATCATATACATAATCTCTGCAACAGGCCAAGGGTGGCCAATGACTGCTGCGATCTCAACTCATCGTACACGCGTGCCTGAGGATGTACAAATGTACATTCTTTGACAATATTCTGATATTCTCGAAGTCAGCTTTTGCTTTGCATTCCCTATCCATTCTCGTTTACTCCTTTAGTTTCTTCTTCACTACATAAGTATATAGGGGCAAGGCCCATGTTTCTGAATGGCTCGCGTCATCCTGCCGACCTTAGGTGCAAGTTGCGGCATTATATACGTTTGCCTAGTTATTTGCATCGCGACATGGTCATATGGACTGTTTTTGAGCCTCCACTTGAAAGCAAAATCTGGTCCAAGAATGGCTCCAAGAGAGATGCATTCAACCAATTGTGGACAACTTCGGGCTGCGGCTGTGCAAGTGTATTCAGGATGAGTTTCAGCCATTTTAACACATGAATTTCGAGTCAAAGTGTCATTCGGTCGAACTCTTACTCGCTTGCATTCTCATCTTGACATGCAATGACGGAATCCATCGAAAGCATAGATAAACATATCTGAAAAAATATTTAGGAAATGAAGTACATACGAATGGTATGCCTGATATGATAACTCGTCTTGAACCTACAGGATTCATTGTCTTGCTTCTTGTTCTTCTGAGGCCGCAACTAGGCATCCAACAGGGGACAAGAACTGATGTGCCACGCAGGACGCCGAAAGGGCTGACACATCTTGACAAAATTTGACAAACATCAGGCTCCTCAAATCTCCTCAAATCTCCTCAGATTCCCTCAGAGCCTTGATCCTCAATGCAAGCCTTGCTTTCACCATCTTTCACCTTGATGTTTGTTGATGTTTGCTTTGAGTTTCAAAACCAATTGAGAAACGTTTGAAGCGAAACCGTCTACATTGAAAATGTCAGGTGTTCCATTTGTCATGTGCAAGCAGAGCTGGCAGAGTGGTGAGCGCAAACAGAAATTTGCATGAAAAAAGAGTCCAGAGAAGAGACGAGGCTTCTTTGCGTTGATTGTATCTTGGAAATTCTTGGAACAGGTCATCTAAGCTTCCAGGTTTTGAACGGATAAATCCGGGTACTGGTAAGTCGTTCTTGCATTTCTATTGCACTACTATGGTTTCGAGCAGAAAGCTGGCAGAGGCTAGATGCTCATCCAATGTCACCCATGTTGCTTTCGTGTGGGGTACACATACACATAAACAATCAAGAATCATAAACATACATGTACACATACACCTACACGCACACAAACACATACACACTATATGCCATCTGCTCAGGAATACGTGCCCCCCAAGATCGGTAGACGAAGGAGAGGCAGGCATGGCCTGTCACATACGTGCAGTACAATTGCACTATACCAATTCCTCAAAAGTGACGAGGAAATACGGGTACTGGTACCCTGCAGTCAAAAGAACAGCCAAATGGCAAATGGAAAAATGTCCTTCCGCTGAAGCGACAAAACTGCTAAAGCAACTGCGAAAGCATTTTATCCTTGCACCAAGTCTTCATGCTCTCAGCTGATTTTCAGCGGAGCTACATTGAGCTGACAAAAAGTTTTTTTGCTCACTGTTGAAAAGCAATGATGGCTTTATCTGCTTCACATTATTTCCTGCTTTGCCAGCTGCATGCTTGCCACTTTGATCGCAAGGGGTGAAATCTGTTGGCTGTCGCCTTGCAAGCTACTGACTCTTCCACAACATGCCGCTAAGTATCCAATCCATGACAATCCTTGAAAAGAACGCAAAGGGCATACAGTCTAAATGAAAAAGGAAGAAAGTCAAATGACGCATAAGAAAACCACATTGCTGACAGGTCAAATGCTACCATTCCATATTTTTTCAAGCCAGACAATAGCTCATTGTCACGGCTCATATGTCGGGAGGCGGTGGTTCTGCCTCCAAGCAACTTGCAAGTCACTGCAAGTCCCAAGACTCCTTACATCTCCCCACAACTGTCACAACTCTCTCCAAGAGATTGAATCACTTGATTCATTGTTCAAGGATGTTCAAGGGTAATGGTGTAGCAGGTTCTCTCCCACCACACATATCGAAGAGATTCCAAGAGCAAGCTACCTCGTTCTTGAGGGCCCAATCGCAGAGCTCCAGATCATTCGAAAGCATGTTGTTCAAAGCAATTTGCATCTGCCAGAGTTGAATGTGCTCAGGGGACCAATGCATCTGCCAGAGTTGAATGTGCTCGACATATGTGGACATATATGTGGACGTATATGTGTACCTATTTAGTCTATGTAGACATCAGGACATGTTGATACTTAGTTTACTTAGTGCTATTTCGCACCTGCAGCAGGGCTCTATCCTCTGCCACACGTTCCGACAGGTCCTCCATCCTGGATCGCAATGTAAGCGCAAGGTAAACGCAACGTGTCGCACCAACACACAGGAACAAAAGTATCAAAAGTATCAAAAGTCTTGATTCAGAAAAAGTATGATATCTATTCATCAGGAAAGGACGGCGGATGATGGCGGCAAACAAAGCTAGCCCGCTTCAATAGTATAGTAGTACTGTAAGTGCTGGAAATCAAACATTGTTGTTTTCAGGCCAATGTAAAAACATGCATGTTTGCTTAACCTTCATGTTGATATTCCTTTGTTTGCTGTTCACGATTCTGCAAGCCTATTGTCAAGATCATGCTGCATCAACTTGTCAATCACCCTAAAGATAGGATTTCTCTGTCGACTGAGGCTAGAGCTTGTCAAGCTTCTTGTTAAGTTTGTCAAGCTGCTTCCTCTTCACCTGCACAACTCTCCAGCTTCAGTGAGCTAGAGTGTGCTAGGATTCGCTAGAAGAACATCTGAAACGGTCACATTGTGTTTCGATCCATTTCGATCCTATGGTCGCCTGCACAGCCTTCAACATCTTGTCCAGAGCAACAAGATCCTATGTTCTGCAACACAAACGATTGATGACATCATTTATCATCATATAGCTAACATCTAAATCCCGCAGGACAGAGAAGCCACAGGGAAATAAGATTGAAATTGTTAGGCAATCATAGATAGGGCATAAGTTCGAGAGACTCAAGACTTGACGTCCAAGCAATTCAAGAAGCATCCGAAGGAGTTCAATCAGTATATTCTCAGTATATCTCATTCTGTGCAAACCCATAACTGGAGGCTTCTCCACGCAAGAGAATTTCTCGAAGAGACACATTGAATACATTGCTGACTTTAGAAGTCCTTTGAAAGTTTGAACATTTCGCTACGGTATCCAAGCACCAGTAATCATGCAAGACCACCAAGACCAAAGGCATTCAAGGCATTCAAGAGCCATGGCCCATGGCATGGCCAACCCTCAACGCTGTCCGCTTCCACTCGCTTGTCAGGTCCTCTGCAGACGTGTCTATCAGAAAGCTCCCCTGTGGCCTCAAAAAGGCATGTCGGTTTTTCGCGTTGTCTACTCTCAACAAGCATACTATATATTATCTACATATTACTATAACATACTATAACTATACTATATATATATATTATATATATATTTATATTTATTTATTTTAGTATGTATTTAATATACACATAAACTTTTGAACTCGTGCGCACACTCTGGCCTCAATTTTGGGGTTCCACCACAAAGATTTGTTTGACATAATTTTGATAAGCACAATGAAGCACATATATATATATATATAATTATATATATATTGTCTTTATTGATCGCAAGGTGTAGCCGTGCAAAGGTTCTCTCTCTCTCTCTCTCGCCTGCACAAAATACGGAACTGCTCAAAATATTGTTACTTGGCGGTGCTCAGAATTTCCAAAGGAATTGCTTCTGTTTTTGAGATGAAGGTCGAGATGACAGGATGATGGCAAGACATACTATGCAGGAAGAATCAGGAAGACCTAGGATACGGATAGCAATACGAAAGAAATAAGGAGAGAGTCCAAAGAAAATGGGAGAGTTCCAACGAACCTCAACTTTATTATGTAGCAGTTTTCCATAGTTTTCTCTTTGTTTCCTTGCTTGTGTACAGGCCTGTTGTTGTGGTCGTAACTGCAGGCTTGAAATCGTTGGAACCACGTCCAAGAGGTTGGGATCCTTCTACCATCGCCGGAGGCAGGCGTCTTTTTTCACATGTTGTTCATTCAACGATTCGTTACGCAGATCCTCTGGCAGACTCTGAGATTTCAGCCCGCCGACTTCAGTGAAGAAGGCCTGAAAGCGGCACTGCCGCACGAAAAACACTCACATCTTGGGAGCCAAAATCATTAGTCTCACATGATTCGATCATTCATCATGTAGACAACGTAGATATATGATGATCATATTTACATTGTTCCATGGTCCATGATCATTTTGCCATCATGTGTGACAAATAATAATCGTTCATGATCTCATGATATCTCACGTTTGAATACACTTATTATATATTATTATATATTATTATATATTATTATATATTATTATATATATTATTATATAATATTATATACTCATATAATATCATTTAATGATAATTTAATGCCTTCTCGTCTTCGTTGCCAACGATGCTCGGATCAAAGGCCACGATATTAATTGGCAGAACCGGCTCGCCCTGCGCTCGGTCAGAACAAAATCCAAAGGCAAATCATACCATGCTACCAGCACACCCATATCAACCCATATCAACCCATATTTTGTTTTTCTGAATTCAAGACCATTAAGGCAATAAAGAAAAAACAGAAGAAAACAAATTCACTGAAGCTGGTATTTCTTGAATGTGATAAAGCTTTTCAGTATGCCTAATATATCCTAATATTACTGTTAGAGGCCTGGAAGCAATTGATTCCACTACTATGGTATTCCACGGAAAGTCAATGTAATCAAGAGCTTCATTGATTGCGAACTATATACTATACTGGCCTGAATCAGTCGGATACAGTATAATTTTTGTTAAACAGAGTCTTGGACCTGCAGCTGTAGATTTCATCACACTATGTATACATTACGCCCTGTAGCATCTTTAGCTTCAGTGATCCTGCCTTGGCAGGTGAGTCTGTGGAATTCCGAAGGCTTGCCTTTACTCACCAACCGATCAACAAAACGACCATCAACCATTGTTTCTTGCAAGAGACAAACAAATCCAAACAGTACAAAGATGTTGCACAGAAAGCTCAAAAACATGTGCCACATGAAGCTGCAATGAACCTTGTAATAGAAAATAATAGAAAGCTACCTAATGCATCATAACGCATCATAACGCATCATAACGCTGGCAAGACACTATGAGTTCCAAGATCTCCTCGGATTTTCCCTGCCAGGGAGCTGGTTGAGTCTACAACCATTGGAAATGTGAAAGCCCTGTAGAACCCCAACGCTATTATAAACAAATATATATATATAATTATATATATAATTAGATATATATATATAATAAAAATATGTAAGCGTTGCTAAGTCCGCAAACTACTTTGCAAACGGTCCAAATATCTCAGACTCTGGAGCGAAACTGCTTAGCGAGGGCACTATATCTTGAGATGTTGCAAGCCTCTGGAGATCTGGAACAGCAGAGATATATCCGCCAAGGAAGTGCTACACCTTCAGCTATGAACCTTGCGGGCTGAATCACTCCGGTTCGCTTTGCGCATTTTTGAAGAAGCAAAGCAATCATCATACAAGAACAAATGCAACAAAACGATACAAAGCGTGTTTGCACCCCTGGCGAGCAGAATCCTGTCGTTTAGAGCGAGGTTTTTGTACGTTGAAGGGAGGCCAAATCGGCTTGCGGAACGCGTTCATCCTGAGCGGTGGACTTATGAAGTGCAGCTGTCCAATCCGGCGGCCAGGCTTGGGCAGCACAGCTTTTTGCCGTGAAATTTTTGTTCAACCACCTCACAAATCAGCACAGATCAGCAAATCTCAGCAGAGCTTCGCAGAAATCGAGGATGAGCTATGTACACTTAAGTCACTTAAGTGCTTTTGTTGAAGTCGTTTCTCAAGTCGTTCCTCATGCGCACAATCCAGTGCCGCCCAGAAACTTGATGGAGTCAGCTAAACCTTTCCTCGGATCAGCATGCTATGACTGCTATGAGTCAAGTGCCACCAAGCAATGTGAAAAAGTCGTCGCGGACATGACTAGCCAATGAATGTTTCGTCAAGCTTCTTGGGATCTGCCTTGTTCTGGAACTGCGGGCACCATGTCTGGCAATAACAAGCCAAAAGCCAGCTGATAGACAGAACACCCTTCTCTCTTCTTGCAATTGCAACAGGATATATAAACAATTCAAGAGGCTAGAAACAAGTCTGCGCACCGTCACGGCAGATGAAGAAAAAAGAGCTAGATTAAACCTTGGCAGGAAACATGTTGTCTTCTTCTTTATGGAATCGAAACTTGAGCCTGGACCTGACAACTTCTCACCAGTACTTGGCTAGCTGCGTTTCTGTCTCAGGCTCGATGACTCCGTTGATGAACTTCACGATCTCGTCTTTGGTCTGACATGGTGGGCTAAAGACATCCAAAGCTACACTGGCACTGCACTTTGCTAACAGTTCCACCCCTGCAGATAACGCCACCCGCAGATGGTCATCAGAGGTCCAAATGCGGCATTCTCGTGCACAGAGGGCCAAGCGAAGAAGATTGCAGAACGAAGCGAGCGAAGTGAGCACGATCATTCATTTTTCCTTCATCATGGGCTGCCTGGTGCAAACTAGCCATGTTTCCCTGAAGATTTCCGTGCCTTGGCTATACACACAACTCAAACACGAACAATGATCAACCATGGATCTATCTTCTCTGCGGCTAAACATTGGACTTGGTTGTACTCACAAGCTGTGTATAACCAATGAACCGTCGGAAATCATGTCCTTCGAAGCAGCAACTCTTTCGAGATTCTGCTTCGCTCTTGTACAAACGCAAATAGATGCGAACAATGATTGGCGGATTCACTTGCCTTTACCTTTTCCTGCGTGACAGGGCATCCACAATGCCAAGAATGACCCGAACTTGTACTCAACTGATCATGACGAGAGAAGGCTGTTTGAACCAAGCAAACACTGAAGTTGGCGGAAATATGCGAAACAAACAAAAATGGTTTTCCAGACAGCGAAATGGTGCCAAATCAAGCGATGGCCGATGAACTTGTTCAAACCTACGATCAGAAGTTCCGATTCCATGGACTGTGCTCGCTTCAGACGTATGAAAGCAGTAGATCGATCTCAAAGATCCGAAGGCGCTCTAGCACATACATCACATACTTGTTTTAAAATGTTTTTTAAAGTGCACAGCTTTCTGAAGTTGAAAGTTGTCCAACACAGCAGAATCCACACCTCCTTTGAAGTAACCGCCGTAATGTTTTCCTCCAGATTTGCCTCCTTTCATTCTGGGCTCCTGCAAAATCAAGTTGCTAATTGATATGGGTGTTGGATGGTTGCTATTCCAGTATCTTGCCTGCAGGCAAGTAAGCAAGCAGGAATCTAAGGACAGCCAAATTGATCCATTCCGAATTCTAGAAGGTTCGCACAAGAAAGTGAGGCGTCAAATACATGCAACTTGCAGGTAGAAAGTGCCGCCTCCATCCACATATCATCGTAGCCACCCTGAGCTCACCAGGAACTGTTGAAAGAAAACATTGAGGTTTTGGAATGGGAAAATCAATGTGGTAAAGATTCCTGGTTCTGGCAAACAAAGAATACACAAATGCGTTCTGGCCTTCGCATGTCCTTTTCCTGTACCCTGGCAAGTTACTCAAGTCAGCTTGTCTGCTCCAAAGCTCTTGGCCAAAGATATTGGGTGGGCCGGTGTGGCTTTGACTACATCCACTAAGGCCAGGCTGCCAGGCTTCAAAAGTACCCAGAATTAAACAAAATGAAGCAAAGATCTGCTGCTTTGCACCAAAGCTGTGCCTTTCGTTCAGGTATCCTCTGCGGGGGTGGAGGTGATGCCTATGCCATGAGGAAATCGAATCGATAGGCATTTGGCATGATTTGGCATTTGGCCGCTTTAGCCTCTTTACTATCTTTTTGCTGCTGCATACTGCTGCAGTCTGCAACACATTCCATGCTGGAAACTCAGCCTGCGACCTTGACAGCTCTATCCCTTCTTGACCTACCTCGAGATTCCTCGCAATGGCAAGCACGGCAAGCACTAAACCAAGAACCAAATGACCAAGTAGATCTGACACAGAGTCTCAGCCAGAGCTCAATACCTTCGCTGTGAATGCAAGTCCCTCTGGACTATATAGTTGCTTGGTGACTAGGGGCTGAAATTAAGTGCGATAATTGGTGTCAGCAAAGATGTGTCCATCCATTTCTGAGGGTACGTGTAAGAGTGAGGATAAGCATATGATTGTCTTTGTGCCCAAAGAGCTGAGGTGGTGCGAACCAGAAATTACATGTATCATCATATACCGACGGTATACATTGTTGTGATTGCCAGTTTTTTTCATTACCATCGCATGTTGGTTCGCCGCAAAGAAAGGGTCACAAAAACTACGATCGACGATCAGAATGGAGATGAATCAGGAGTGGTTGGATGGTAATACATTGTTGATTTGCCACTGAATGTGACGTCCTCTTCTTCAGCAGGCTGTGGTTTAGGTAGGGGAGAAGGCTTGTAACCTGCGCTGAAAGTGTCTTGCGATTCTTATCGATTCTTTTCGATTCCTCGTGGCTTCAGTGTGAGGATGTCTGAGGCATATGCTCTGAATTACTCTGGCTGC